TAACGTAAACAACGGTTAGGCGAGCCACACGGTCAGGCGAGCCATCTGGTAATACTATACATGAGATACTATTTTGAACATAATATATGTCAACTACCAAGGTCTAGAAGAATTAGATTTATCTTATATAAGTTTTAAATAGTATAAAGATTCTGTACATACTCTCCAAAAACCCTTATATATATATTCAATAACTTTTTATAATACAATACCTGTAATTTATTTGTATTACAGAATTCTCTGATCTAACTATGTGAATAAAAATTCTAAAAATCTGAAAAAAGTAGAGAATATGTATTTATATATATATAATATACCTACAAAGTCAGACTTTCTTAGAAGTAGTATTGGTGGATATATAAGAGAATTAAATAGATATCTTTTATATGGGATAATAGGATGGCTCGCCTGACCGTGTGGCTCGCCTAACCGTTGTTTACGTTAGTTAAGATCTGAAGTGACTAAGCAGCAAAGAGGAGCAGGCAGTGATCCGTAATTAGGTGTGTGAAGGATTGCTCCGGTTGATGACCAGACGGGATGGTTGGCTCCTAAAGGGAAACAGTTAGACTGTGCAAGGTTTGTGTGCTGGCTAGAAGATTAGGTGGAAGAGATAGAGTGCGCGCAAGACATAAATACTTTAATTTAGGAACTTACCAGGATTTGCCTAACCTTCCACATGGGTTTTAAAGGCATGAGTGATACTCTCTACGGCAATATATGAACTTGAAGTACAATTGATATGTGAAGGCTATGCTCCAAATCGATTTTGGTGGGCTGCACTTGCTGAATAGTTGATACATATACCACCGCCCGCCGTACTCTTTATTGTGTTGTGGATAGATGCAGTACAGTATGTACAGAGTCAAAGCTACAGCTAGATGGTTAATTAAGTAACTTAGAGTCTGAGCAAGGCAAGAAAGTTATAATTACCAACCGAATACCGTAACATGAAGATACTTGGAAACCGATCTGTAGCCCAATTCTTCGACCCGCGCCACTGCCTTCAGCAGTTCAGACAAGCAGAACTTGAAACCTTCACTCATGGAACCCGGAAGTTTAAACGCTCCACAGTCATGGCAAAGGATGTGTTGCCGCCCTGTCACCGTTGGGAAGTGGATGTATCTGTTCTTGCTGACCTAGCCGGGACTACACATGGACTCAGGATACTACGGAGTGAGATTGTACTGTGTCTCCGTACTGTGTACTCCGTACTTTGCAGTTGGGTTGTTCCCTATCACGATCGTGGGTACTCTTCGCCCGAAGCCAAGAAGTCGCCTGTCCCAGTCCGTAGACGAGGGGGGGCCCACTCGTGTGCTTGACTCGACAAGATTTCAATCCTGAATGACTTCGATCATAGGGATTTGTCGCGTCATTTTGCAGGCTTACATCTTCCTTTATGTTGCCGCTGACGGCTGCCATTCTGCCGACTACAGTCACTCAGTTAGAATATCATCTCTTGAGTTTATAAAGTGCGGAGAAAAGTGGACAAGGCGAACGGTTGCTAAAGTCAAGACAACCTACCAAGGCCCAAGGGCATGCCCCCCCCGGAGCCCCAGCTCGCGGCTGGGTGAGGGATAAAAATGAGGAATATTATGCTAAGTTTTTGATTGATTGTCTGTATGTAACTTCGTACTGACGGGAGTACTCCTACTATTCATATTCCAGACACTGCTGACAGTCGTTACCTGGGCCGATACTTGCCATTCAAGGCTTGAGTACTGGGGCTCGTTCGCCGTTGACAGATCCATCGCGACGGTCTGGTACCACTAGCAGGGTGATTAGACCTAGTCATTGGTTGGAGAAAACACGGCACCGTTGGTTCTCGGAAATTTACATTTGGTCAATCGAGTAGGAGGAACCGAGCAAGGCGGCAACTTTAAAAAACACACAAACAAGGGATCACAGTAACATCCATGATGACAGCCTCAAAGCCTGAGTCGGAGAATTATTTGGACCTATCTCTGGGAAGGGACAGGGTCTGTTTCCAAACCTCCGCTTGATTAGGTTGGAAGTTACAGAAACCCTATTTTATCAGCACACTACTCCGTAACTAGCTCAACTCAACTGACAGCTACAGTCAATAGGTAATCGGAACCTGCACCTGCAATTTTACCTACAGCAGAAAATGTTGATTTCGTTTCGGCCGAGGCTTTAGGAGACTAGTCGACCTGACGCCGTCGTTGTTACGCATTCACCCCCATTATTGCCCATATTCGCTCTTTGGTTGGAGCGCCTTAGACCATTTCCACCTCCCGGTTTAGGATGATGGCGTTCTCCACAGGGAGAATCCATGTCCTCTGGTTATCTAAAAATTATTATTATTGTCATAATGATGATTATTGCGATTATTATTATTTATTATTGTTACTTTGCTTGTATTGTTATTCTCCTTCCTCTTCCTACTCTGTATTTCTGGTGGTTCTTGTTATTATGACAACATTCTGGTTATCTCATTGCAGGTTCTCACCCTTCTCATTTCCAACTTGTCGCGTATCTAATTGTACAGTGCTATTTTCTCAATCAATCATTAGTTTGGTTGTTTTGAAACTCGACTCTACCGGTAATCTTTCACTCACATCTGAGTTCATGGAAGTCACCCTTTCATTCTGTTCCGCACCACCATATGTGCATTCATGTAAGAAACCTGGCCTTAGGGTCTGGTAACAAGATTTCCGACAATTTAACACCAAGCCTTTGTGGCTTGGTTTGTTCATAACTTATATCCATTTGCCTTCAAAGTTACAATCCTGCTTCTCTTGAGTCATCTTCTGATTATGATATTCATCTAGAAGTAAGCCAGTACCAGTTGATCGTAGTTTCAGGGAGCAAGGATCGGTGGGAACTCTGTAACTACTGTGAAATGCTAACTGACCGCCTTGCCTTCCTTTCCAGCTCAAGTAAAATGGTGGGTAAACACACGAGCGAACAGTCCTGAGATGTTGCACTTATGCGCCACAGTTGTGGTTGTGGTTGAAATGTTTCCTGTTCCACCAAACAATCATCTCACAAGTCATTGAGGTCCGAGACCGAGGTTAGACTCGAACATTTCTGGCCAGGTTTGACTGACCGCTACGAAAGCCTTCCGTTGCAGTATAGCATATAAGAGTGGACCCGTTGTTCATCTGGCCATTTCTCGTTTCGTGCTTTACTTTAATTATCTATTCTTGACCCGGTGGTTTAACTGCTATTCAACCCTGCGCAATAATCGAGGGATAATCGGGTGGCGGCAAGTACATTGACTACTACGCGTCTTTGGTCTCTGGATGGCATGCCCTTCTAGAAGTCATGGATGAGAAAACCTCCCCCCCCCACCTCCCGAAACATGCTTGATAGAGGGTTGAGATCGAATGGTCTGAGATCAAAATTAACTCAAGTGAAATTGTAATGAAGTCATTGAAGCTGCCTATTTTATTATCAACTAGTGAGTTACAGGGCTGTTGTTACTGTTAACTAAACCGTATGAATGGTTTCTATGTACCCAGAGTTACTGGAGTACGGAGTAGTAGCTTGCAGGGAAATGATAAATAACATCATTGGACTAAATACGAGTGAATCAAACTACTAGGGACCTAGGTACTGTATATGATACCTAATCAATAGCAATAGTTAATCCATGCCTACCTGATCCTTAATGTGCTTCATTTAATAAACCGCTTCCCGAAAAAAAAAAAACAAGGGAAAAAAAAAGAAAAAACAGCCCCCCTCCCCTCCCCTCACCACTGGGCCCTGGTCTCGCCTCTTCATTTTTAGTCTCTGTCTTTTAATCTCCATAGTACTACCTATTACCGACTACCTTAGTAGTATTAGCTACCACCACCACCACCTTAACTACTAGTATTGTTGAGCTTTTCATTTGCTGTTTGTTCCATCAGCTGTCAATACCGATGATCTCTTTTCTTATGCATTTCCAGGTGTTTCCACTGTTGTGTCTGGCCCTTTTCCCTCTCCTCTTGTCTGTCACTTCTGATCTCCACGATTGTACCCAATGACTATCATCTTCAACCTCTGTTTCCATTTCTTTCCTGTCGCTTGTATATCCTGCGCCTAGCCAGTACCTACCCACAACCATCTGCATCTAACTTTTCTAGCTGCCAGTTGGCACAGTCTAGCAATTTTCCTCAACGTCAGTCGATATATCAATTCACAGTCTATTCCCCTAAGTTCATGTTCCTGGCCTGCTCTTGTTGCCCTGCGCCATCACTCTTCTGAGGGTTTCTCGTGAACTGGCTTCTATATACCAGCTCAATTTCCCCATATTCCTGAAACCACCAGTGGTGCCACGAGCACTTGCTCTTCCGTGAAGATTCCTGGCTTCTGTGAACCATCGCTATCGTCGACTGTCAGAACGAAACACAGACGCTCTTAGCTTGGTTGCGTCTACCTCGTCCAGGATCGATCTTCTACAGTCGCTGATTTCGCGAACTGCGTCCGTCGACCCGTGGACTGCCTTTCAATAACCAGCTCCTGTTGTTCCATTCCTCGTCGGTTTCAACTGCTCCTAAAACATAATAGCCGCAGGTTCTTTGTCAAAGAGCAGCAATCTTCCGGTGTGAATCGCGCATATGATTGCGTTACAAAACCAGGCAATCTTACCTCCCGCCAAAGTGGATATCTCACTGCTACTGAAACCCCAAGATGAAGAAGAGACCGCATCGGTGACTAGCGCGCCAGCCTACGCGGCTAACACAATGACACAGGCTTCATTGGCCTCTCCTATGCCCATGGCTACGCCACCTTCTATTCATACAGCAACGGTTGTACCGCCACATCACAAGGCCCCTGCCACAGTCCCTGTCAAGCGCCTCCAACCTGCTCACACGGCGGAGTCTCCTGCGAAGAAGCAGTCAAAATGGTCTCCAGAGGAAGACGCTCTCATCATTGAACTGCGAGGGAGCGGCATGAAATGGGAGGATATTAGCAAGCGCCTTCCTGGGCGAAGCGCAATCAGTTGCCGTCTTCACTATCAAAATTACCTGGAGCGCAGGAGTGAATGGGATGAGGACAAGAAGAATAAGCTAGCACGATTATATGAAAGGTACGCTGGTACTGGCTCGAATGCTCTTGGGGTTCCACCAACGTTACTTGATTTCAATTAAGGGTGGCTAACTTGAATGCAGGTTCAAGGCGGAGATGTGGTCAAAGGTCGCAGAGGAAATGGCGATCCCATGGCGCGCAGCGGAAGCTATGCATTGGCAACTGGGAGAGCAGGAAATGGCTCGTCGTGCAGGTGTCGTTCCCTTCTCGCTATCAAGCACTGCGATTGATCCACCGGCGCCCAGAGCGCGCAGAGCCAGTACGTCTTTGTCTCGACCAAGGAAAGGATCGACTTCACGTTCGATACACCATCCCCCGCAGCTTCCGTCTGTTGAGGAACTCACTGCCGGGGTACCTGCATTCGCGCCGCCTCCACCTTTTCTGCCGCCCCGCGAAGCGTACAGAATAAGCCGCCCGTTAGACTTGAGTGGTGGTCAAGGCGGCCCATTCGGGCCGAATCTCGGTCTTCCTCCTCGAACTCTTCCCTAGGCAGGCCGGGGAAATAGTGATGATCATGCTGTCTATTGTTTTCCACCCATCGCGTCGTTACGAGTTGCATAGCGCTGGCTGGAGGTATTGGTCGTTTTAGGGGGGTTTTATCATAGATGTTTGTCATCGATATGTGCATAGGTGGGCTTCGCATGGTCCTAGCACCACGACTGCATCGCTTGTGCATTTCTTTTTATTTGCTGGAGGTGCGACGGGGAAGGGATAAGGGTAGTTCGCCGATAGAATCGACCCGCGCTGGCTTCACTGCATGCATGGCCATGATAATGTGATACGGCGTCATCTCTGAGGCTGGACCTCGGGCAAGCTACTACACCTCTCTGCGCATCTTACATCGACTTGGAATCTGGGCGTGTCGCAATCGCCCACCAATTATCCTTTTCATATCCTGAATCAAGGACATAACCACCTGCTTCAACGATGTCCTGTTCTAATTCCGAGGCTTGGTAGAGGTGATAGTAGCGATGAAACACCTGGGGCTCGCTGTCAGCAGAAGCAATGCCTTTCATAACCCAGGGGACCATTCGGTCTTGTTGGTCGCCTTTGTCCCATCCACGACGGCTATCCTTTTGCTCTAGCGCCCAAACATAGATGAGAGCTCTTCCGCCTGGCGTAGTATCGGAGGCAGGCTTCAGTGTCCGCAATATCTCACGGATGGCACTGACTCTTCGTGCTGGGGTGGACAAGTGGTGAATCACAGCAATCGAAATGGCAAAATCAAAGACAGAATCGGGATGCGGGAGGCAGAGGATGTCGGCGACTACAGTCGAATGTGGTTGGTGAGCTTGAGCAATGCGGGCGAGGTTAACAGACCTGATGAATCATGAATCAGCTTTAGGACCTGCACGGAGTAGCGACACTCATCACGATTGACCCGTTGCCTTATTAGGAGTTATAGCTGGTCTGATCATGGCAGAGGGCAGAAAGAGGGGCGCAGAGAGCAGAGCCAACAAGATATATAAAAATACATAGATATAGCATACCGATCTGAAGCTACAATGAAGACATCCTTATTTACGCCGAGGTTTTTGCCATTGCCACACCCAACATCTAGGCCAATCGACCCAGGCCTCAGGTCAGTGAGGAATTGTTTCACAATAGGCCAAGGCTACCACGCCACGCCACAGTTAGTGACCAACATGCATTAATTAAAACAGGGTAGAGGGAGAGGAGAAGCGAAATACTTTGTAGCGGGTGGATGAAAAGTGGTGTGCGATCTGCTGGTATACCTCATGCACATTCTTCTCTTCATAGGCGTCTTCATCTTGCTGGTTGGGTACAATGGTTTTAGACGTCATCGTGGCTCTTTCTCAATATCACCTGGATATATTATAGTAATAGTGAACGAAGAGCGCGTCTTTGATCCAATAGCCAGTGTAAGGCAATACTTCAAGGAAAAGATTTCGTCCAGGCAGAAGTGTCAATTAAGTAGGCAACCGATATGTAATCAAATCAAAGCAAGAAATTTCCCGAGAAGATATGTTAAGCTAGTGCGGAGTACGTACAAACCTTAAGCCGTATCGTCATAACCGTCTCGTACTTTACAGTGATTAGGTTCAGGTTCAGGTAGGTAGGTTAGTTGTTGACCTCCCAGTTCTCTTAGTTATCGCCTTTAAGAATAGAACAATTAGGTACCTAAATAGTGACAAGTCAAGTAAACCATAGATTAAACAATCTACTCTAGTTGTAAGTAGTCAGTGACCAATCCATCAAGTAAGTCAACAAACTAAGAAAGGAGAAATTGAGTTAACTTACAATGGGAAAAAATGACCTGTTTCCAGCTCTTCCCCTCCGCCTGTTCGGTTCAGGAAGCTCGCTACAAGATCACCGCCTTCTTGATCGGTCCACCATACAAAGGAATGCATTGGCTGATAGACAAATTCTGCTGGCAGAATCAATACTCGACTATTCCTTATTAACTAGATTCAGAAGAGCACACGGACTTTTGCAAAAGGGTTTGGGGCTATTAGGGTGCAAAACTCATTGCCAGGAACTGTAGTTACGGAGTACGGAGTAGTGTAAGTTTCAATTACTCAAATTCAATACACATCGAAAATAAGCACAAAGTTCACATATTTAGCAGGCTATACCAACCACTTTCTATTCTAGGTGGAATACAGCCTGACCATTGAGGTCTTGATCTGCAGATTATATCGAGATGCTCAACAAGCATGTGAGTATCTCTAATCAACCAGCGACGCTCGTACTTCGGTTCTTCTACCCCCGAGTACAATACATGTGCAATTGCTTGCTATCATACGCAGAGAGTCCTCACCTTCAACTTTTGACCCGGAAGCAGCAGCGTCTAATACCGTCTAATCTCCCCTTCTTTCCTCTCTTCCGTCGCCCCGCCCACCCCCCTTCTCTCACCTCCGATAAGAAGAATAACTAATCATAGTTGAAATCTACTTTTGCTCTTCTCAACGTTTCATTTTTCTTGCGGTCAGATCTAACTCAATCGTCTTTCCCTCAGCAGCACCGATTGACACAAAAAGAAAGTGGAACGAACACGCCTTTCGAGCATTTCTTGCCTAGTTGTGCAAATCAAAAGTCATGGCTTTTCAATCAACTCCTATGGATTTATCCGTCGTCATCACTACGCCTGCCACAGGCTCTAGCGCCGAGCCACGCTTTTTAACGGAGCGCAGAGTCACTCCAACATGGACTGTCATGCAGCTGAAGACGAAGCTTGAGACCATGACCGGTGTTCCTCCCAGCTGCCAGCGTCTTCGTCTCAAGTCTCCCGGGCATCAGGAACAGTGGGTTGAAGGTGACGATAGCATTATCGGTGACTGGGGTTTGATGAGAGGCTCTGAATTAGAGGTATGCTGCACCTCTTCCATTCCAGTTTGCAGGATTACTTTGTAGATAGTTATGTGCTCTTTCGAAGGCGCCAATGACCAGCCATTGTCACCACAAACTCCCGCTTTCCTTTCAAACCCCACCTTTTCTCCTCACATTTCCGGTCGTTTGCGTTTCTCAAGAAATCAGTAGCTGGAACATCACAAGACCAATATGAGTCTGCTGTGTGTTCAATTGTCACTCATCCTCGTATTTTCTATTGATGCTTTAGCTCTTCTACACAGGTTCATGATACTCGTCCTCAAGCTACGCGGCCCAACTTCACCGACCTGTCGTCCGTCGAGAAGTATGTTCTGCCACCTTCCACGTACGAGGCGCTCCCCAATTCCGTTCTGGCGTGGAAAAAAATCCAGAAGCTTGGTCGCTTCGACCCCAATGCTGTGTCTCCTGGAGAAGCTATGCGCAGTCAAGTGCTGAGAGACATAAATGAAGTCGAACGCAAAGGTGAGAGCCATGGGAACAATTCAAGATTCTGCGCCTTCTTCTCGACCTAGAAATAGACCACTGATCGAAGCCTTTTCCGCTAGGTATTGCTGTTAACAAGCGAGCCATTGTCCTTCCGTCATCTCCGCCACATGTTCGACGCGGCACAATTCGCTTCGTTGGACCAGTACCGACGATACCCTTCCCTGGGATAGAGTCTGATTTATTAGAAAATGACTCTACTTTTCCAGTCTGGGTAGGAATTGAACTTGACGAGCCACTGGGTAAGAACGACGGCAGTGTGGGAGGAAAGAGCTACTTTATTTGCCCGGCCAAGACGGGTGTCTTCGTTAAACCTGAGAAAGTGGAAGTAGGAGACTGGCCGCCCTTGGGCTTGGATGATTTGGACGCTGAAATGGAGGAAATATAATCAATGGTCTTCTGGCATGACCACTATATTTCACTAGAATCTTGGCACTAACCAGTCCTAACCACAACACTCCAATAAAGCTTGTGATCGGCTTGACAGATCTCCCAGTCAGACACGCTCCCGCGCCGACGGAATAGCAGAGAAAAGTGACGAACATATATCCTTATCATCCCAGCAATAACGTGACATATTCGCTAATTCAGAAGCCAGCGTTTTGAAGAGAAAGCCAGCAGGAAATTGTGCAGATAGTCGAGGAAATTCACGAAGAAACCCTAAGAGTTGGAAGTTAAGTACGCATAGCGCGCCAGATCTCATGTCGCTTTACGTCCGGGCCCACTTTTCTGTTTGCCCCTGGGTCTACCTTTCCCAATAGTGGTGGGGCGCCCTGTCGGCGTGCTAGAGTCAGCTTCCATGATACCTGCCTTTGTCGCAGAGCCTGGAGCAGAGTCATCATTCTCAGGCAAACAGCCTTGTGTGAAAAATAACCGTGCATCCTTGTTATGCGTATTCGCGAAGCTGTAATAGTTGCCTAGGCGGTGTGTCAGGTGGATGAAACTGAACACAAAATAATTGAAATGCTACCAACCTCTGGGGACTTGGAATACACAGCCTTTGCCTGCACTGAAACGGACCCCTGACACATCTACCTGCACGCGTCCATTGCAGATGTAGAAGACCATGTGCATCCTCTTAGAGTTTTTGGGCTTCTTTACTCCTCCAGGCGGCAATTCAACAATGCCAGAACCCATGAAGGGGGAGCTGATGAGTTTAGCAAATCGCCATGACGAGTCCTTGACACTTTTCGTCTCCATTCCAGAAGGAGCATATGCGAGATCTACTTGAGCAGTCAGTCCACCGTGAATGTAACATGGTTAGGGAAAGTGTAGTGAGCACTAAACCCACCAACGATATCCGACTCTCCTGCTGTCTGAGACTCTGAATCCCACATCCTGACATAGCCATGCAAAATTCCGCCTTTCTTCTCCCATGGATCCAGGAAGGCCGCATCCTCATCAGAGTCGTCATCTCTACTTGGTTTTGCTTGAGACCTTTTCGAGGAACGGCGTTTGCTCGACTGTGGCTTCTCTGGCTCAAGTTCTTCTGTGCGGATGATCTCCTTAATGGTCGACAGTGGAAATCTTTGGCCTTCTACAGCCTCTCCGTCGCCATAAACACACCGTTCATTTCTCCAATAAGCGAGAGGTCTTACCGAGACACGGCCCGATCTGGTGTGCGTGGCAGTGCCATCCGAAGGCGCTTCACGCTTTAAAACATACAAGCTTCGACCTTTCAATGGCCCTGTGCGGTTGATATAGTTTTCCACCACTCTATCCAACTGTGCGTCACCAGATGAGTCTGACCGCCGATCAGTCTGAGCTTTCACCCTAGGTTTCTTGGTCGGTCTCTGTCCGGTTTTGTCATTAATAGTGTCGTGCTGAGGCTTCGGAGGTCTGCCAGGGCGTTTGCGCTTTTGTGTGACATCTGGTAGTGCTGTATCAGACAGGTCATTTGTGTCCGGGATTAGCATTTTCTGTCTTGCGCCATCCACATTTGTCGTCAATGATGCCTTGGGCCGGCCTTTCGCACGTGTTTTAGGAGCCACAATGAAAGGGGGTTCGGGATGTGCTTCATCCAAACTTAAAACATCTGTATGGTCTTGCATTAGGACGTTATCATCGGCATGGATACTATCCACCGCGTCATGTTCTTGTGCAATAGCATCCCTATTTTCGTTCCCACTGAGGTGAATGCTGGCCGCACTGTCAGAGTAGTCTTGATTTACGAATTGCGGGGCAGCAATTTCAGTCTTCTTGCTAACGCGCGCGCTGTGCAGGTGGCTCATAGACGGTGTCGCATTCACGGGACGATTAGTCAGAGGAGATACATCGCGCCAGGACTCGCTTCTGGAAACTCCCAGCCCTTTCCCATCGGAAGGACTTGAGGAGGGGTGGTTGCGCTGCGGACTTTGAGAAGACCGCAGACCGGGAGTTCGTCGCGGGGAGCCAGTGAGTCCGGTTTTCATAGGTGATCGTGCGATTGGGGGAGGAATATAAGAACCACGTCTGCTGTTTAAATAGTCTGCAGGACCAGGGCCAGTTCCTACATAGATATAGTGCTCATCGTCAGTATGTTGCAATGCAGGTAGGAAGATTGTAGGTCATCACCAACCCTCATCCATGGACATGCCATCTGAGCCGCTCGACGCTTCATTCGGGACGTCCAATCCGTGCTCTCTTACGGGGGAGTTTTCAGGAGAAGAGAATATGCCATCAACTTCCTCCATGCCAAATTCATCGCGTCTTCCTTCCTTCAAGGTTATACCCGTGCGCCTGTACCGCTCGCCCGCATTAGCTATTCGAGCAACCGACATGTCAAGAAATAAGGAGTCGAAGCCCAATTAGAAGAATTGAGAGCAATCGCGTCGTCAGGATGCATATTCACCTTCCGGCTTTTCCAACATTGGCGTAATCATAATCGCGGGCCTTCGCGGGCCCCCGGGGAGCCATCACTGCGGAGCTTCGGGAGCTGTATGTGGCTAGGATACGACTCTAGCAGGGTGAAGAGAATCCGCGTCGGTTGCTTCAAGATGCGAACGTCGTGCTAGTAGCAAGTCACGTAGCGCGGGAGAGCTTGAGTACCGAAGGAGGGGACAATTGTCGAAAATAACTTGCACCCTTGAGCACGATAGTCGTGCAAGCCGAAACAGTACTGATTGCTACGGTCGGGAATTCGGAATTCATGGAGGCGGCGGCGGACGTGTGACACGCGCTAGTCCTGAATTGTTCGGGACGCGTCCCAGCTTGCCAGTCGCTGAACACTAAGACCTCCGGAATAGTATATCACAACAATTCTGTTTTCCCCGCATTTCTCTATTCTTGCATTCGCATACGCTGCACTGTCCGTTAGCCAGTGCGTACTGTGTATGCTTACTTCTTCCCTCGCGGTTTATATATACATCGGCCGGAAATCTCGGCATTCAGAAGATGGAGGCAGACAATCAAAATGGCTGCGACCTATTTCAAGGGAGTTTGTCGACTTCGGCTCCCACGAGCCTTTTCGTACCGCCCAGCATAGACTACAGCAAACTGCTATCCGGTGAATCCTACTCCTACTTCTCATCATGCCCGCCCTTACTCGCTACAGCCAGCTCGACTGCGGGAGAGACCGAATCGTTCCAAGACGACTATCTCGTCCTTGGAGTCGACGAGGCTGGACGCGGTCCTGTCTTAGGCCCAATGGTTTACAGTGCCTTCTACCTGCCGCGCCGGCTTCACCATTCCCTTCTCTCGAAAGAATACAGCTTCAATGATAGCAAAGTGCTTACTCCAGGAGTACGCATGAATTTAATGCGACTGTTGTGCACTCCCAGAAATCCACTTTTTGAGCATTGCGGATGGGCAGCGAAGCTACTTTCAGCACGCGATATCTCATCAGGCATGATGCGACCTGGCGCTGGGTCTTACAATCTCAATGCTCAAGCAATGGATGCTACAGTCGAGCTCATTCGAGGCATCGTGGAGGAAAGAAGCCTGAATGTGCGGGAAGTCTATATTGACACGGTTGGAAATCCTGCGACGTACCAACAGAGGCTAGAGAAAATCTTCCCATCCTTGAAGATAACAGTGGCTAAAAAGGCTGATTCGTTGTATCCCTGTGTCAGCGCTGCAAGTGTTGTAGCCAAGGTGACAAGGGATATCTCGCTTGAGCTATGCCACGAAGAGGTTGCTAGAAGATGGAATACCCAGAATTCCTCTCAGGAGGTTACCATGCATACTTGGGGTAGCGGCTACCCTTCGGATTCCAAATGTGTCACCTGGCTTCGAACCAACATGGATCCTATTTTCGGATGGGGAAACGAATGTCGGTTCAGCTGGGGAACTGTGAAGGAGATGTTGGAATCGAAAGGAGGTTCAAAAGTTGACTGGCCGGGAGGGGGAGACATGTCACAGCTCAAGGACTTTCTTTTGACAAATGCTGGGGCCGGTACCAAATCATATTATGAATTACGAGAATGGTACGGCTCGAGGTCAACAGATATCCTTCTATGACATGGTGTGTGATACCACCGATTAGTCGCCAGTTATGATAATGACAAGCTTGATACCCCCCATCTCGATACGCACACACACACACACACACACATATATATACACCAGAAGTCAGTGCTCGTCCCTGATATAACACCAAAGAAATATGGGAATAGAGACGTTCATTGCAGCCGTGAGCAATGGATTGGAGACCACATCATATTAAGGTAATAAAGGTGAGCGGTCTGTGATCAGGCAGGTCTTCGAGGGATCCTGAACGAACCAGGCATGGTCATAGATGGGGATGGCAAACATGCCAAGATTGAAGCAAAAAGACATGCTACATAGTCGCAGTCGAGAAATAGTAATTATCCCATAAGTATTCGTAGTCGTCAACAACGCTACCCACCAGGTCAAGTAGGGGCTTGCCCTTCATTGAGCCGGTTAAAACCTGTAAGCAAGGTCTTTATCCATTAGTATACTTCGCTCACTACAATGGAGGGTTTTGAGAGACGTACTTTGTCAAGTTCTCATAGAATGCCCCACGCATGGCCCACCAACCCAAGGCCCAGCCTCTTTTCCTTAGCTCTTCACGTTCGAGCCCAGTCAGTCCTCGAAGGCCGCCGGCAACTCTTTCTCGAAAGTCAGATTTGGCAAGTTGTCGGCACAAGTATTCTAGACCGAACCCAGCCAACCAAGGTCTCCAACTGCGCCTGTCTCCGCTATATCTTTGTAAGGCTATCGCGTAAAACACTGGCCGGAGTATGTATAAAACTTCGGCTAGTTGTCCTTGTCCAGTGACGCGATGCAATAGAGCCTTGGGTGGTTTGATGTCGTCGGCGGTGAGCACTTTCGTGATCAAGAAATTTGAAACATCATTCGCATCTGGTAACGAAGGGAGGGTTAGACCAGTTCGAGGCATTGTCCAGCTTAGATCAGACGATCGTTCGCTAACGGGCGTGCGCATTCCGTTCCAGTCGCTGTCCATTTCGTCTATCGATCTGGGATCAACTTCCCTCTCGGGAAGCGGAGGGTTCACCAAGGGCCTGGACTTCGTAAGATGAAGAAGTATCAGACGACAGGTTGCTTTAATGGCTTCAATGAAGATGATGAGTCGCCAGCGGACTTTCTCCCCACGGCGACGGGCAATCATCTCCCAGAGCAGTTCTGTATACTGTACCATCTGTAGTGTGAGGGCGATTTTATGATAGAGCGGAGAGCGAGACGTCCAGTATTTAGTATATCTCGTGTGGGGAGTTGGTATCGACCGCGGAATAGTCGATGGTAATCTGGAGATAACTCGAGCAACAAGAGCATTGTGATAAAGAGACAGCAGCTGGACCCCCGAATGTACTGGACGGTTCATATAGTTAGGCGGCGATACACGAATTGCAGACAGACGTGAAGGGTAGTGAAGCGACATACCACACTCCGAACTTATTTCCGAGTCTCGATATCGCCCTAAGAAGAAACTATCAGCTTTCTCCGCCGTCGCAGAGCTTTCACAAATAGACCGGCAATTCCAACCTGGGATGATATATGTCAGGGATCTCAGCGCTGACTCTACCTGGCTTACGGAGCTAGCGTTCTTGGTTACGAATTCTTCGTACAACGGCAACCAACTAGATGGCCGTAGCAAGGCAGCAGAGACGGCGCTCTCGAGATTCCGTGTAGCATTCATCCCCTCGAAGAAGGTAACGATTTATACACAAGACGTTGCTAGAATTCAAACGAGTGGCGGATAAAAGCAGTTCGTTGCGAGGAAGAGACAGGTAAAATCCCCGCGCCCCTTTCCCCCCGGACTGAGCATCCCCAGGAAGTGTTACCCTAAGACACGTGTGCCGCGTCTGCCAAGAAATCATACAATCATCGCTCTGTATGCCGAGGTTCAGCTGAGCCGGAAATCCTTGGCATATCCTCAGAACACCCATAATGCTCTTCGCGCAAAGTGACCACGAAGCATCATAGCTTGATTGATTCTAGCATGACAAAATCAACCATCAGACATGCCACGGATGCTATGGATATTTTCGGACTGAGTATAAATGAAGGCTTAATCCTATCATGCATCTATTGTATACGCTCATTCATCCGCAAATTTCCACAGCCCGCCGGGACGCATTGCTTCTCTGTACCTGTGTTTCACCAAGCCTCTCTCACACTTTTCAGCCTCCTCATGGTCGCGGGCTAATTCTTGCGTGCTAGGCATATCAGTACGCCAGAATCCAGGCGGTGACCCGGCACGTTGATGCCGTTGCCTGTGTTTGCCAAATTGATTGGCTAGCACCCACGCCTTTGCTTCTTGTAGGAGATAATTCCGGTCTTCCAGTCTCAAGCTCTCAAGCTCATGCTCTTCGTCACCAAGATATTCCGCAATGACATTCTGATCATTAAACTCACGTTCCTCACTTGACCCTGCTGCATCTGCCGGGAGGCCGTTTAGTCGTGCCAGATCAAGAAAATCCTTTCCACAGCAGTTGTAGCGCGTGCAACCCTTGACACACTTCACCTCATCCTTTTTTCGAACGACGCTGTGAAAGGCGAAATCATGGCCTTGATTGGAATCGGTGTTGATTTTAAAATCTCCGAGCTTAAGATGTTGTAGTGGCATTGCTCTTAGAGAACTTCTAGCGGGATTCGTTGTAACGTCTTTCAAAGGCGAAATGATAGTATTGAGATTATTGGTAGCCCGAGTCTCGTTAGTAAAACATTTCTGGAACTTTTCTGCTTCTTGAGAAGAGCGCTCGTGATCGCCACACGGTGTGGATGTTTCCTCCGTCTCGATGAGGGATCGTCGTTTCGTAACGCGATCAGAAACGTCCACATGCCCTTGCAACTTCAATCTGGCAGATGATCGTGCTTCGAGCAGACTATGCAGTCTTTGACCAATAGCTCCGGTTTCCTCGCTTAAAGGAAAGCCTGAGGCTCCTTGGCCGTTTGTTCCATGCAACTTTCTTGGAGGTGGACTAGAAATCCTTTCATCACCATCTTCCAAAATTGAAGAAATGTAGCCACTTGGAAGCCGTGCTGAAGCTACTTCTTGAAAGTTGTGCGGCGGTCGCGCAGATAACTCGACTCTGAGGGTATCATCAACAGGCTGCAGCACAGTTGATCTTTTCGGCGAGGCCGAGAATAGTGGCAGTGGTGAACGTGCGTCTTGAACTAAGTCATTTTTGGTTGCGGTTGTAGAGAGAACGCCTTGCCCTTCGCCATCTCGGACCTTCCTCCGCTTCCTGGGGGTTGCAACAGCACTGCCCACTTCGTCCAGATCCTGGGTACCGATGATTCCACCAGGTGACAATGCTTTGAACGTCTGGCTTGGATACATACCTCTGGTTTCGGTCACAGTGAAACTTGATAACCCTTCCTTTGCACCTACAATCAGGTTTGGATGCCAAGCTAGGAGAGTATCTTGGGCGCCTTGCCTTGTAATGAACTCGGATTCTGACAATCTCGTCGTCGAAGTCATGACCTGGGTCGTTTGAATGATTTCCTCATTTCCGGAGCAATCCGGAGGTATTGGTGTGTTTTGCGCTGATGACAGTCTAAGCGAGCCGTCGCACGCGCTCCGGGTGCCATTCTCTGAATCAGCAACATCGGGATGGTGTGTTCTGTGGGCCTTATCTCTGTAGTTCGTGGCTTGATCCGCGACACAAAAATCGCTCGAGCCTGAGATAGGAACAGAACTGGATGGCTTTCTGCTCAGCGGTCTCTGACTGCCGATGAAGACCTTCCTTGTGCATTTGAATTCAACTGCTGTTTCGTCAAGTACTAAAGTGAATCTATCTTGCTCGAGGCACTTTTGCCAGATATTCCACTTTCCTTTATATCGTTTGAGTTGTTTTCTGAGCTCGCATGAAGCCTTTACGAGTTCCTGTGCCTCCTTATATAGTGCAGTATACGCTTCGCCAACAGTTTTGAGGTCAGATGACTCAGCATTAGAGGTATGATTCAGATTATCTAGAACCTGATTTGGCGCATATGTTGCCTCGAAATCCTGAAGGTTCCTCGCAAAAGCTTTACCGTCTACAGATTCGGAACCGGTAAGGCGTAACTCTTCATGTAAGAGAGCGACCGCATCTTTCAGCGTTTTCAGCTCTTTCATAGCCTCAGTTCGTTCTTTCGCTGCATTGATAGCCTTTTCTTCGGCTGACTTCACGCTAATGTCCGAACAGGATATCTCAGCAGTCGCATTTTTTAAGGCCTCATCGAAGCTGCTCTCCAGTGCCCGCGCAAGAGAAGACCGAAGCGTTTTGATGGCTTCCATCACCAAAGGCAGTATCGACTTGCGGATGTGGTGAGCATATGAGTGGTATTTTCAAAAAGTTAAGAGATAGCGAACAACAGTTTCACTGTCAAGCGTATCTAGTTGATTGATCAGTGCATTGAGGTACAAGTATGGAGGTGAAGGAGAAATAAAAGCAGATGCTGACCATGCGTGCACATTACACAGTAGGAATGTTTCACGGGGGCGACATACGGGAAGCAGACATTAGGTAAGCGTTCTTCTGATGTAACGAACGTTAACTGACTAACTTAATAAGGTTAAATTAATCACGTTAATGCTTCTGAGCGGCGTACAATACAAAGCGCTCTGGCAGGTCTAAAATAGAGACAAATAAGCTCACAGTCCCTGTATTGACTCCTCCATCCTCAATCCCAGATACGCTTATCTACTGAGTAAATGCCTAAACGACGGCATGAAGATTTATCAGCGACATTTCCTCCGTTGAAACGCGGACACTTCATTAGCATAATCTCTTGTCTTTCAGATGAATTACTACTCCATATACTGTCCTTTCTTCCCATAAATTCCTTGATAGTCTGTCAACAGTACGTGCTCTTCTGGTTCGAACTATTTCTTTCAGAATCTGAACTGAAAAGCTTCCATTATGTAGGTTGTCATGTCGATTCAAGGCGCTTGCAGAAGACTCGGAAATATGGAAGCGACATTACTATAACCGTTGGATTCGACCCCGATTAGCCAACATGAGGCGCACCATGCTGTCCCGGCCGGAGGTTCATTACTCTCCCAAAGTGTCGACATGGCTGGATAATGGCCACTTGGCAAACGATGGCAGGACTTTAAATTGGAAGGACCAATACCGTCTCAGGCACAACTGGTCTAGAGGGATATGCCGTGTCACCACAGTCGAGTTGTCTCAGCCTTCGGCTCGACCAGCGTTGGTTGCATTTTGTGCTGGCATCATTTTTACTTTCGATTGGGACTGCCGCCTGCGAGCTCGGTCTATTATGAATTCCGCATGCTACCTGTCAGAGATTTCTTTGCCAGAAAACCGATTGCATTCAGCCTTGCCGACAACGCTGACCGCAATGAAGGGTCCTCTTCCGAACCGGATTGAAGTTGCCGTCGGATTCGAAGACGGCTATTTCGTGTCATACGACTTCGACATGGTTTCATCGCCGCTGGAATTCCGCACCTCTTGCGCTGGATCTACGAGTGCCGGCATCACTGCGATGGCCTCCTGTTACCCCTACATCCTTCTGACATCGGACCAGAAACTCCTGTCACTTTTCAACATCATTAAAGGTTGCGATGCTCGCGGCCATTTACTGCCCGGAAAACCAGTCCTGCTTTCATGTCTGGAGGCAGACAGCACCTTCAAACCAATGTCGATATCGGTTCGTTCCGCAGGCTCGGATATTATATCCTCCATTGTGTACAGCTTCTACCATGTTGGCTGCGGTTGGTCTCTGGGAATTCAAGAATTACATTTCAGCTCAACCGACTCGCGGCAGAAAGACTCGCGGCTCACAACAACCGTGGATTCGCAGTATGGATTATCACCGCCACTGGGTCATGGCTACCCAAGCAAGGGCAATGCATGGCGTGAGACCAATAGCAAAACCGGATCATGCACAAGGCCAGCTGAGCCCTCCATATACCATCGGGAAGCCCCGACCTCTGTGTCTTATTCACATCCTTATTTGATTACGTCCCACACGGACAATACCTTGACTGTGTATCTTGTTGTGTCCTCGTCCGCGGGGCTGTACATTAAAGGTGCACAGCGACTATGGGGCCATACTTCCTCAGTATCAGCCGTGCAAGTGAGTGACCGTGGTAAGGCGATATCGGTAAGCTCCAGGGGAGATGAGGTAAGGGTGTGGGACCTCGAAGACCTAGTCTCAGCCTTCGGGAAACAACGAGTGCGAAGACATGGAATGAGTATTCGAGTTAGTCCTGGAAATAGGCAAAGTGACAATGATAAGCCCAGGCCGAATTTTCCAGAGAGCAATGGTTTGTCAAAATCGATTGAGGTCCAGCGCCACGTGCCCGATATAAGTGGTTGTATCGGATTTGACGCTCAGTGTGTCCTTCTACTGCGTGGCAAGGAGCACGACGGACAGATGCTGGAATGTTATGATTTCACATGAATAACAAGATCTCTTAATATAACTGGTCCCGCTCACAGTGGGCTGGTCATTGCCTCTGTTACGGAAACTCTTGCTCCAATGCACATGCTTACCGCAGGTTTCACTTGTAGGTGATGGATTCAGTGCTCACTCACATGCTAGAATGGTAAAAGGGTTGGTTAGCAGAGGACCTTGGGAGGGAGAGCTATGCCAGGAGTATTTATAGAAGACTACCACAACAACCCGGTTCCAGCTCACTCATCATCTTTATCAATTTTTCCAGTAATTGTTTGGAAGAGCGAGGCTACGATTGACAGCCTCATGGCTAAGAATACCTAACACACTCTCCTCTAGTGAGGATGGTGAGTCCCTCTCAATACTGCTATTCGATCACGGAGTCAACAAAATGGGCTTGCCTAAGGAGCCCGAGCTGATGAAGTGAACTATCCAAAGACAAGATTCTGGGAGAACGAGATTGCGGTGGAGCGGAAAGATAGAAGTCGGGGAATATCTTGATGAGTGACGCTCTGCCCATTCTTGACAGACTAATTTTGAATCCCACCATTCTGGCATTCAGTATTACATCTCTACTAGGACCACGGAGATATTACTAGCATATGCCGTCAATGGCCGTAACAGTCTAGCTAATACCAGATAATAATGATATTGGCGGGGGAAACTCAAGCGAAGCACAAGATAAGGTTATTTGTCTAATGTCTTCGTTCCTCGATGTTGTGTGCGGCACCGCGGCGGTTCCCAGTGGTAAAGCCCTGCAAGTTCCCCCGCACTCAGTTAGCATATCTCCGTTTTATGGTCTGCATTAATTAGTCTGACTCCTCTCCTTCCTGCTCATTATTACCACTAAATTTCTGATCGCCCAGACTTTCCCCTCAACCTCCATCCATCCTCACAAAAAAAAATCCAAATTTACCGTAACCCCCTTCATCCTCTCAACTTCTTCCAAATCAGTTACTCCCCACCACAAGACAAAATGAGTTTCCAAGCTGGAGGTCGTGGATGCTTCAACTGTGAGTTCAAACAATCCTCAAAACCAAGCAAACATGATTAGCGGGCGCGACTCCTGGCTGCAATCTTCTTGGCCTCTCAAGTCGGAAGTTTTGAAGCTCGTGTTCAAGAGTATTTTGTTTCCTAAGTCCCGAGTTGCGTCTGCACGCAGTAACGGACCATGTCTCGGACCGCACACATGTCTTTGTCAAGAGTTCAAATCAGTCGCTTGACAATTACCCTCTGTTTTTTATAGACACTAATGGTTTTTTCTCTGCAATTTAGGCGGCGATGCCTCGCATCAGGTAAACATTGCCCATTACCACTGAGAATTTTTCATCATAGCTCGTTCCTGTTGGCCTGTTCTCATGGCCTTCCTTTGACAAGAGTCTGACCATAGTTAGGCCCGCGATTGCCCCAAGAAGGGTACCCCTACTTGGTGAGATTTATCAAGTTCCGTAGGTGAAACAAGATTGCTAATCTATTTCCCTGGAAAGCTACAACTGTGGTGGTCAGTGCCTTCTCAGCTCTTCACATTTAATTCTCCCTTATCCATCATCTTGGCTACTGGCTTCGGCCATAGTCAAGATGGGTCTCAAGTGCTTTAAATCTGGTCTGACCCAATTATTCGTTTACAGGTCAGGGACACGTTAGTAAGTTGGTCACTGAATGCTTTCAACTTTAATGCTAGCAGACCCCGTCTGACATGTCCTAGGTCGTGAGTGCACGGTAGCCCCGAAGGAAAAGTCATGCTATCGTTGTGGAGCCACTGGTCACATCTCTCGTGAATGCCCTCAGGCCGGTTCGGGCGAGAGCTACGGTGCTGCTGGAGGTAGCCAGGAGTGCTACAAGTGTGGCCGGGTCGGCCATATCGCGAGAAACTGTCCCCAGGGTGGTAGCTATGGTAGTGGCTTTGGTGGCCGTCAGCAGACTTGCTATTCTTGCGGCGGCTTCGGCCACATGGCTCGCGACTGCACCAATGGCCAGAAGTGCTACAACTGTGAGTTTTAATCATGCGCGCAGAACTTATCAGCTCATATACTAACGAAATCCCCTTAGGCGGAGAAGTCGGTCATGTTTCCCGAGACTGCCCCACTGAAGCCAAAGGTGAACGGGTGTGTTACAACTGCAAGCAACCTGGACACGTCCAGGCTGCCTGCCCCAACTAGTTTGATCGCACTCTGGACTGTTTGTCTTCTCTCACGATGTCTCACATGGGACCAGACACGGGAATATCACCTCGATCGCGCTGTCACTGACGGTCTGCAATTCATTTCTCCCGCTTTATCCTTGGCCAATCTCTGACATGGCATACGAGCCTGGCTACGAATACCTCTATCAACCCTATCTGGTCTGTGATATCTGAACGATATCCATTTCGCCATGGAGTTGTATGCACAATCTGCTGTCGTGCAGGAAGGCAGTTAGATTGGTTTGAGGACTGATAGGTGCATTGTGTTGCTGGTGGACAAATAGATGAAATCACTTGTGTGCTACGGAAAACGTTTGTCCACTAAAATGGAACTATTGTAAATGGTAATCTACATCGATTCCACAGAAGCTTTCCTCGTCCACGAACTCCTACGCTGAAGTCTACTACTTACTCTTGCTTTACCTTAAGTCTTTGATGGTAATTCGAGACAAAATTCTCTAATTGTAGCCACCACTTGGTTCCTATCTACGCATATTTGTCTGCTACTCACAAAAGTGCGCAGACCTTGGCTTCAATGTGGCACAAGAGATTCCGACGACACTGGATGTGTAAGGCAGCAGTTTGATATGTGGAATCGGAACCGCATGGTGCCAAAAAAAATAGATTTCTCATGAGTGAAACATCTTGTTCAGGAGCTACAACTACACATCATCGCTCTTTTGATTTTTGGAACATCCCCGCAAAACCGTTGTTCCTCCTCCCTGTTGAAACCCCATTCATCTTCGAAGGGCCTCGTCGTCATATGCAGGATTCGCCCGAGTATACCTCGATCTCCCTTGCGTTCTACGCGCTCGATAACTTCGTCAAGAATCCATCCGCGTGGTAAAAACTAAGGTTCAAGTCAATGGAAGGTCACACATACCCGTCAAACATATTAATGGTCACATGTAGAAGAAGACATACGCTAGGATTTCTTGATTTCATTAACATCTGTCTGGCCGTATCGTCGTCCATGCCCCAGTCTTCCAAAATGCGGGTTCTCCATTTCTCGAGCCAGTGTGCAATGCGTTCTTTAGCGGCGCTTTCTGTCAGACCAACACTGTCAAGCCCCTCATTATGGAAAAAAATTGGAGCCATCTCGATTCTCTGCGTCGTAGTCTCGATGTCTTGGAGCGGAATGTTCGATAGTTTTCGGAAAAAATGGTTGAAATCCAGCTCCAATGCCTCCATCATGTCAAGCATCTCGGAAAACAAATTCTGAAAGTCAGTCTCCTTCTCCGTTTGAAGGCCCAATCGTCTTCTCATCAATGTTTTGTACTCATTCAAGAACACAGCTCTGAATTCCTTCCCCGTTCGTTCAATGAGTTTTTCGGCGCGTTCAATAATAGCTGGTGCGGAGTCTTCGGTAAGTCCTCCTTTCACGAAATCCTCATGATCTACTCGGTCTCCCGCCCCCATGAGTTCTCCTAAAGATTCACCGAGTCTGACTAAATTCCACCAGATGACACTGGGCTGGTTTTTGTAAGAATATCTCAGTAGGTGATCATCGTGGTTCGGTGTGTAATGGGGATCAAAATTATCCATGAACGCGAAAGGGCCAAAATCCATTGATAAACCGTAAATCGAGGTGTTGTCCGTGTTGAGAACGCCATTCATGAAACCATAGGCTTGCCATGCAGCAACAGTTTTGGCGTTGCGGCGTGCAATCTCTCGGTAAAGTCTTGTGAACCTGTTTTCTTGGAGTCTTTCATGCTCCTCCACTTCATCTTTTAAGCTATTCCCGGAAGAAGTACTCGCGGCAGGTAGGGACTGACCATCATCTGAGTATATAGCGCAATCTAGAGTTTCCCATCCGTTGAATACTTCTTCAGCGACATATGTTGCAAGCCTCCGCGTTAAGTCACGGTCTCCGCGTGCACGTAAGAGATCAAAAGTGCCAATACGAAGCCAAGACTCCGCAAATCGAGTTACAATAGCTCCCGGTTCAATGCGCTCTCGCAGCACTTTCGATTGCGGCAATAAAGTAATGGCTAGGGCTCGAGTTGTGGGTATACCGAGGGCCGAAAGAGCTTGAGCAGTATTTAGTATCCGCCTTGATAATTTGTTTTTGAAAAATATCACCTTCAGAGACAATGAATTCTCGGATGCTCGACCTTAGCACGGCTTTTCCATCAGCAAAGCGCGAGTAGGGCGTTCGGCCAGCCCCTTTCAATTGTAGCTCATAGCGAATATTTGTGTATGGATTGGTGCTTTCAAAAAGGCTTATAGCGCGCTGTAGATCGTCAATTCTATGTAATGTTATGTGGTTTCTTGCGCTGGATGCAACGCACCCCGTCTCCTAGTTGGCCAGCCCATGAACCACTATGTGTTGATAATAGGTTAGATATGACTATTACTCGACGAACTAGTACTTGCAACCTACAATTGCCACCCTGCACAAGATTAGTCATTTGCACTACATTACGTTGAGCTCTGACAAGCGGGGTGCGAAAAGTGAGGAATTGAAGGACTCACCCCCATAGCATTGTGCCCAAGGATATATTCCACCAGTAGTCTCATCCCATGGAAAATCATTCCCAGAAACCAAGGCACGGAACTGAGGTGTATTTTCCTCGCCTCTTGCAATCCCAAGATCGTCCAAGGCTTTCGGACTTACTCCCAGAATCTCATAATCCTCTGCTGGCTCCGGCCTAACAAATGTATAAAGCGCACCTCTTACTAGGCGCGGGCCTAGGGTCTCACGGGAAGCTCGATGCGATTTTTCCGGTGTTTCAAAGGCAGGGTCAGCAGGAAGCTTGGATGTGAAAACACTAGACTTGGGTATATCATGTAAGGAAACCCCTTTGGAATTATTTCGGAGCGACGAAGCCATATGGAAGAAACGCCTGGGAAACGTCCAGGACCTTCGAAACAGACTGCAGAAGGATGCTAATTGAACCTGAAGATTCGCAGAGCGAGCATTGACGACCACCATGAGATGAAGTTGGCAAGACTCATCGAAGTGAGTCGGTGAGAGCTTGTTTGGGTTCGGCCGAGTCGAGAGGTCAATAGGTAGTTAGCTAACTAATTGATCTGTGAAAATTGCGGAGTAGAAGCGGAAAGGCGCGTGATGTTAGGTTGACGTCAGATCTAAGAATGACGTCATATATCCGGATACATAGTACACATGCACATAAATTGAGTACAAGAACTGTCCGGTGCTTCAAGTCCTTCTTCGTATTTCCCATCTCGGTCCTAGATAAGTCAAATAACTTGCTCAATGGCCTCCACGCTCAGGAACATTCCATCAATTAGATTGAATGACGGGATTGAGATTCCTCTGGTAAGTTGCCTGAAGCTTCCCTACCGTCGCACGATCTATTGTTGCCAGCGCTGTCTTGCGGCTGTGAAACTAAACGATGATAACAGCTTGGATACGGCAGTGGAACTGCTTGGTCTAAGAGGACACCTGATGAGAGCATCAATCGCGAACTTGTTAACTCCATTAAAGGGGCGATTCAGTTGGGGTATAGACACCTTGACGGGGCCGAGGTATATGGAACCGAGTCTGAACTGGGTCTTGCCATCAAGGAGAGTGGCGTGAATCGGGAAGAACTATTTGTGACAACAAAAGTGAATACCAACATTGCTGACATCCCGGGAGCCATCGATCTGAGTCTTCAGAAGCTGCAACTCAGCTACGTTGATTTGTGAGTACCAACTTGCCCTTCAATATTCTTAGCTTCCGGCGTGCAGCACCGGACATTGAGACTCATGGGTGAAATTAAGATATTTGATCCATTCGCCGTTCTTTGCCGAGTCCAACAGTGATCTTCAGAAAGCTTGGGCTGCTATGGAACAGGTGAAGAACTCCGGCAAAGCACGGTCCATAGGGGTTTCCAACTTTCTCCAGAGGCACCTCGAAGCCATCCTGAGTACCGCTACGATCCCTCCATCAATTAATCAAATCGAGTTCCACCCTTACCTCCAGCATGGTAACCTCCTTCAATTTCATCGAGACAATGGAATAGCAACAGCTAGCTATGGTCCACTGACCCCGATCAACCGGGCCAGGGGCGGCCCTCTCGATCAGATATTGTCCAGCCTCGCCAGAAAGTACGCCGTCGGTGAGGGGGAGGTCCTGCTGAGATGGGCCATGAATTGTGGTGCCGTGGTCATTACAACCAGTAGTAGAGACTCCCGCCTGAGTAGCTATTTGCGTGCGCTCACCTTCGAGTTAACACCCAAGGAAATTAACGAAATATCAACCCTCGGCCAGCAAACGCATTTTCGAGCTTTCTGGTTGGACAAATTCGCGCCTTCCGACCGTTCCTGATGTTCATCTTTCTTTCCACATTGCGTGCGGATACAAATGTGGTCTTATACCAAGGCATCTGGTTTAAGCCGTCTTTTACCCTTTGTTATAGATTCTATAAATATATCCAGTACACAAGTCACCAACTGCGTCGAGAGCCCATGCGATAAGGACTAATTATCGAAACAATATTTCAGAGGAGAGGAAACAGTAATAGACCAGAACATTGAGTTTGGAGCGGAAAAGATATATCAAGAATATAAGTCACCTTGGAGCTGGGAATTCTTTTAGTATGCCCTTGCACTCATTCCTTTACTGCCAAGCGCCTCCGCTTAGGCCCCCGGCGGGAACAAACCTAGCCTAGTGAACAACAAACTCCGTTCGGCTCATCTTCGATAACGACCCTATTCTTCCCTCTCGCTACGCGCCTGGGAACATCCATTGTTTTGCTTCCTGGGCTGAGGGCTTCCTTCCTTATCCTTATGGCCCAGATCCTGCAACTATAGGTGCGGCATTGATTGGGCGCGTGGTAGTGCGGCATATTAGTATCGGCTTTAGTCAAACCTCCAAGCGTCCGTGCAGCCAAATTCATCTGGATATACGAATCTCATAAAGAATAGATCACTACTGAGGACCGTGGCTTGCGAACCAATAAATCTGGAACGAATTTCTGTTTTACAGTCGCTACGATGCGCGGCTGAGGGTACGACCGGAACTCGAAGGCCTACAAAGGATCACCATAAGGCGTGGGGCACTATATAGGTCAAATTACAGGTTTATGGAAAGCTGATTGGCAATACAAAACCAGAGTGAACACGATATTACTGCTCGATTGATCAGCACCGCTGGAATTCATAATTGTTCGGCCACATGCAAACCAACGCAAGCGCAAATCAAAGAAGCACGCAAAGGAAGCCGTCGGAATCAAGGAGCCCCCGTGTGTAGAAAAATATCCACAGGAGACGCAGGCTTTTTATAGCTGCTTTCAATTTCCAACACAACCATTTGACGGTCTGCCATGTCGGAAGAGCATTCTCTTCGTCTTGTGAACGCTGAACCAAGAGGAGCCGAGAAAGCCAGCGAACACACTTACACTCCAGACCAAGAATCCATCGATCAACGATTGAAGCGACTTAGAGATCAAGTCCTTCCAGTATACCCGTTTCTCCTTACTGTTCCGACTGATGTACCTTTCCGTCTTGGAGGTCGGTTTGTCAACAACTGGGCAGTGAGTAATGACGGTCCGTTCACGCCAGAGGAGCAACAACTTCAATATATGACTTTCTTGACTCATCACGACGGTGACTCGCTTTTAGCCGCTGTTGGGAATTGGTCGGACGGTGCAGGGAACGTCATGTCTGATCAGCAATCTGGGCCCCAGAGTGCGGCGAGCACACCATCTTATAATTCCCTAAAGAAGAAGATAAGCTTGAATGATTATAAGAACAGGAGAAAATCAGGAGTCACTTCCGGTTCACCCATCAATCGAGAAGCTCAATCCCAGTCGTCATCTGCTCCAGTGCTCAATGGAGGCCAATCGATCATCAAAGCTAGTGGTTTCGTTGATGTTGTACAGGGACCCGCAGAGAAGGTGGCTCCAGCCAACTTGCAATCCTCATCCGGTGACAAGAACATGAATCGCAAACGTCGGTTTGAAGTTGATCATGAGCCAGTGAAGACAGCTGAAAAGGAATTTGTCTCCTTGAAACGAACCAAATTGTCTCCTGATCCTTCAGTAGAGCCCATTAAAGTGGGACGAGCGCGAAGCAATGGGCTTCCTGCACTCTTATCACCGACTTTACCTCCAGTCTCAAGCAGCCCAAGACTACCTCGACTTCTATCTCCGACACTTCCGCCGGACATAGAGAAAGAGTTATCGATGCAAAATGTGGATTTTGTGTCCATAGGCTCTTTGCAGCATCCAAGTGTGTCGAATATTGATACCTCAAACATTCCCAGAGTCAAATCTACTGTGCGTGGCTCTAGTCACTTGCGCTTGTCGCCTGCTCCTAGCCGGCAGAGTAAATCCTTGAATTCTGGATTCATCAAAAGATCGAGCGCCAGTCAAGATCACTCGGACGTTGATTCATCCAAATCTACAAAAGGCGGCTCCTTCAACATACCCAAGGACGTGGTTGAGAACTTACTGAGTCCGCGATCAAGTTACCACTCAAACCATACCCGAACGAAGTTTCTTGTCAGGTTGAAGTATGGCAGAGCGAACAGGAAGCGGGTTGAAGCGCTTTTGAAGTTCTCCGGTAAGAGGAAGATAGGCGCACCAGCATCACCCGTAAAAAGTGCTGAGATTTCTCATGCCCCGGTGCCTGAACAAGCTGTAGCGAAGGCTATAACATCTAACCATGCAGAGAGCGGCAACAAGTTGGCGCGGAATGCGATTAAGACCAAGCCTGGGGGGGCCAAAATGTCTTCCAACGAATTCACCAAAGAGTCGAAAGCTTCCAGTATCACCGACCAGCCCCAGTCCTCGAAATTCACGAGTTCGCATGACGCACAGCCCCTGCAGGATAGATCAAAACAGATGCAGATAGCGTTAGGCAGGAGTTCAGCTCAAACCATAGGAGGCACTGGCGGGCGGAATCCCCCACAGTCAGGTGTGAAACACCTAGTGGACTTGACAACACCTACCAAGCTACCGTCCCCTCAACAGAGCAGCGTCACATCCCGGCAATGTGAGCGTCGGGCGTGGAAGGATGAATACCAAAAATACGGGTCCCTTGGCCGGGAACTAAAGCATGCCGCTGAGCGCCACACAGCGAAAGATAACGTGACTGCCGTCAATGAAAAGCTTGCAGTTGCCACAGCCGTAGAAGCTATAATATGCTTCATCCTGGCTTTCGTCGCGGATGACCATTCCAAGGCTTTGACTCGTCAAATTGCTGATTCTTCTTCATGGTTATCTATCCTTGCATATTGGCGCGTGGTAAAGAAAAACAGCTCTCCATATCCTCGGCTGCATAGCCTATGTCTTATTCTTGGGGCTATTTCGTACGATGCAATTCACGCACTTGATCTGGAACGCCTCGCGACCACGGCGCTGCCTGAAGAACATATAAATGCTCCCACGTCAGCCAGCGAGATAACTTCGACTGTATTTGATGAGTATAAGAAAGCCCGAAAGGAATTCTACGAGCTGAAGCAGCGATTGCTTGAGTGTTACCGGGAATCTCAGAAATTATGGCTAGAAGGCTCACGCGGCCTTTCTGAGGACATTCTCGCTAGTGAATTTCCTGTTACATGGTCCAACAGGTCAAAAAATTTCGCAGAGCAAGGCAAGCAACGTTTGAAGGCTGGCGATTTATCCATCGATTACTTTCTACCATTGGGCAAGACAAGCACGCCTTCAGAGATTATTAGCTTCAGTTGTGCAATCCTGAGAGAGTGGTGCACAAAGGAAGGCATTGGTTGGAGCAGTAAGCTTGATGTTTAATCGAGCTTTAAGGTTTCTACACATCTTTCTGAACACCTTTCAATTGGCATATGGATGCCTTGAGATGGCATATTAGGACGTTTGTCGCCGCCAGTTCTTGGATTATGATACGATTCCTAGTGCCTATACCTAGTTCCAAGCCTATACTGCGTTCACAGACTGGTCATGGTCTACAGCCGAAGATGCGATTCGCACCTTGCGACCTGGCTGAACAAGTGTATCAAACAATAACATCAAAGTATACTACTACAGTTTGAGCATAATAAGTAATAGGTATTTCTCCGCTTGATATCTTGAGCTATGGCTCTTTCCAAACCGTACATGGTTTAATAATCACCTACATGCCATAATAATCAATCATTCTCAGAGAAAGAAACATAAGTCTGTGAGGTAGATCGGCAAAGAGAAAGGATCAATGACTTTGAAGAAGAACATGACCGGAAAACATAATTTATCAGAATGCATGATACAATTAGATAGGAAGATGAAGAACATGTAAATGTGATCAACATGCTAAGAGCGTTTCTATAAAGACTGGGCTGGAAAGATGCAAAGGTTTTGATGTCTGCTCAAATTAAGTTCGCACGTGTAAGACGATGACGGTTCTTAGGTTGCTGCATGTGACAAAGTTGTGCAAGCAGATATGCTTGTTGGCCTAACCAGCCTGTGGGCAGAGATCAGTATATGAGGTTCTCGGGTCAAGCTTCGTTAAAATCTGTACAGCTGACCGAAGGAGCAGGTTCCTGCCCAAAAAGCCAACCAGCTTCCCGGCAGTATCTGGCCTCGGTACCATAGACACCAACCTCACTACTCCAGCAAATGATGGACGCGTCAACAATATCAGCAACGACACTCTCAATGGCTCCCAGAATGCTCCAACCGATGGCTCCAGCAATCAGCCCTACCATGTAAGCATAGAGACTGCCGCGAACCACACCATTGTCACTTGGCACGCGAAAGTTCCGTGCAGTACTGACCCAGCCTCCGAAACCAAGCGCTAGTGACACCATAAGGCGCGCAGCATGGAGGATAAGTTTAGATAGCCGATATGAGACAAGAGATGCGCACTGTTCACGAGACCAACCGAAAGACCGTGGGTGAAGAGATGATATGGCTACTGATGGTGTAAGATTTGTCATCTGCATCAAACCATGAGCCGATACAGCAAGCGGCTGGGAATGAATTGCAGCATAAGTGAGGGTAAGGGGATTTGTAATCGTGGCCAATGGAGTCGGAATAAGAGAGTAGGCACAGAGATTAAGAATAGAAGAGATCCGGCCGGGAAGCAGCAGAAGAGGAAGGCGAATCAGCAAAACCAAAAGACTAGACAAGCAGACCGTGCCAAAAGATGTGGTGAGACAATAGTGTGTGGCGGCTTGGACTATTTGTCTGGATGTCGGAGCAGGCGTAGTTAATCTGTGAAAATACCACTGACTGACTGTTGCAGCTGTGACCGCACGTTGAATACCAGCCAGGACCCCCAGAGACCACAGGTAGATCATGACATAGTATGCACCTAACCACCAACTGCTCGGATCCACAAAGAAGAGCATAGATCCTGAAATGCTTCCTGCTAAAAACACACGCGTGAACATGAGCATCCAGCCCCATGTCCACGCAACAATGAGCGAAAGGACGCCCAAGCCAAAGATCAGCAGCTCGGGGTGAACAGCAAGGATACGGCAGGCAAATTGAAGTATGCCTACCGCTCTCCCTATATCTCGACGGCTGCGAACGACGTTATAAACCCAAACACTTGCTATCACAAAGGGGATAGCCGAACCCCACCTCATGACTTTGTCCTGGATGCTCGAACCGTGCCAGGGGCCACGAAAACTCGAGATGAAGGAATAGAGTGAGAAAAAGTACAGTATTGCGGGGACAACGAATATAATGGAATAGACTAGAGGGCGTACATAGGACCGTAACAACGCGAGCCAGAGCAGAGATAAAGATATTGAGAACAGTGTGAAAATTGCCAACCTAAAGAACGAGTTGTGAATAGTCGAGTATACTGTATCACCCCATTTCGGAAGGTCGGCGGGCGTAGAGGTGTGAAGATAGATAAGGAACGAAGTTGCCAACATGCAAGCACTAGATATCAGAAAAAGCTGGCCCCAGAACGCGTCATAGGCAGGTGATCCGACCCCAACTGATACCATAGACGCCTGATATGAAGCCGGGGGACTCGCCTGACGGGGAAGACCCTGCAACCCAGCGTGGTCTGACCCCGGTGACACGGGTATTGATTCTATTCCAGGAGTGTTTCGTGGAGATTTTGGTTGTTTTCGAAAGCGTTGAACTGAGGGCGGCTTGTCATCGCCTAGTTCGGGAGATGCAGCTCTCTCGGAACGGATGTCCGGTTCAAGCGTGTCCTCCAAACGAACATCGACGAGATTGTCTCCTCTTCGGAAACTTGTGTACTCCGCACAAACATCGTCCTGAAGCTCATCGTATTCAAGATTTTGTGGCCTTCTTGCTTCTTTATTGGGACTGCTCTCGCGCCACGAGCTCCAGATAGCCTTGCCCTTGGAGACTGTCCGGGAAGAATGCTGAGGCACGGAGTTCTCTGGGCTCGAAGAAAGCTTATCGTCTTCGTCATTTTCTAAAGAGTCCCTTAAGCGGTTGATCCCAAAATGTCGTCTGGATTTCTGTAGGGCGTAGAAATCCGCAATTTCCCGCTCGTGCTCGGTTTCGTCGTCCTCTTGAAAATCATCAGTAGCACTGAAAAACAGAGGTGCTTGCTGAACCGAATTTCGCAGCCCCGGTGTAAAATTGGAGACTTGCGAAGCGGCTGTTTGATACGGACCAAGGGCTGCTCGTTGGAGGAATGACCGTGAACCAAGGGGCCGTGGATTTACAGGTTGCTGGATCAAGCGTCCATGGCCTTTTCTGCGAGTGTCATCGGAATGGATCACCACCCGAGACTGCGATTGTGCGAGGAATCGAGAAGCATCTGAGCGTATTTTGTTAGTAGATTAGCAAGACTTTTCACATAGACCGGTGGAACATACATTCGGAGAACATTATTAGTTCCAGGTTTGGCTAACCTCGGAGCAATTTTTACCTTAGGTTTTCACTTCTTTTTTGTCGCTAGGCCCCGAGTTTGATGTTAGTACTCTGTGCTGGATGTTATACGACGATGCTGATAAGGGAGGCCGACGATGTAGCGGTGAAGTCCTTTGAGAACTTGATAAAGAATTCACTAGCGGCTTGTTGAGCAGGAGCTACATAGCAGGTAGGAGAGAAAGGAAAGATCCTGGTCTGACTAGGAGTCTCGTGACTCTGCCTACAAGAGTCAAGGTATCGATATTGGTAGGTAGGAGAGACAGCCTGCCAGAAGAAATTTATGTATGGGGAGTAAAGAGTTGGCGGCTGATGCACCGTCATATGGGCAGGGTCATGGTAACAGATGACTCAGCAGTCGAAGTGATTGATTAGTTAAGTTGTTTGTGCGTCATTTGATGAATTGGCTCACATACTAGTTAATTACCTGAATGAGGGGTCTAGACCTGATATAGTATGTCCTGCTAGACTGCTACAAAGTGAAGACTCTATAAGTATTTCGACTTCTTGAAAGGAGCTTAGACTTTGTAACTGTAGGAGCGCGTTTTTCAAAAAGTCTCCACTGTACATAGTAGCCCACTGTGGGTATCGCCAAGTAGAATTGACTGTTTAGTGCTAGTTCGGAACTACGATGGTTACTAAGTATGTACTAGAAGGTGCCTAAGCAGTAAGCACGACTGATTTCAAAACAACTTCCGGTTACTCGAGGTTCGTATCCTAATTCAACCATCACTTCTGCTTGAGCCATCATATGCAATCTCTTGTGTAATCCACGAGCAGGATTTCAATTGTGTGCGCCGCAACCTTGGCCAAAGACCTCAACAAAACCACTCTTTGATGGGCCTCTCTCAACAACCGGGGCCGGAGTATGACTTCAAGAGTCCAATCTGCTGGAAATAAAGAACCTCAGGAGCAAGCCTCTTTACATGACCGCAGAGCTTCATTGCTCTGCTATACCCATGTCACAGCCATGGGACTACATTGCTAAGCTTGTCTGCATTGGCGACTCTGGAACTGGAAAATCCAGCGTGAGTTCAACGATCATCGACCTTTCCTTCTCAATAACGCTAACATACATGGCTCGTCCCTAGCTAACAATTCGACTTTGCGAAGGCCGCTTCTCATCTTCTCATGATGTTACGATCGGCGTGGAGTTTGGTTCGCGCATTGTCTCGGTTGGCCCGCCTGCATCAAAGAGCTTTGGATTGGGATTCGACGCTCATACCCACGAATCATCAGCATTGTCGTCTGTTCCGTCAGCTCCTCCACAGACACCTGTCGCTGGTCCGGGAAATTCTGCTGCCACTGGATTGCCCAGTCCTCCGCGGAAGGCGCCCGAATATCAAAAGAGGATGAAACTGTCCCTCTGGGATACAGCTGGTCAAGAAACATATAAATCCATCACCCGTTCTTACTTCCGGGGTGCATCTGGTGCACTCTTGGTCTTTGACATTACCAGGCCTTCTACTTTCCTGTCTTGTACACAGTGGCTCCAGGATCTACGGCAAATTGCTGAAGATGGCATTGTGATCATTCTGGTTGGAAACAAAAGCGACCTTGCAGACGACGGTTTGGCCTCAAGTCAGAGGAAGGTGACCAGGCAGCAAGCAGAAGAATGGTGTCGCATGAATAATGTTGCGAAATATGTTGAGACGAGTGCAAAATTTGGAGATAATGTGGAATGTGCGTTTCTAGAGGTGGCCGAACTGATTTACCGCAACATCGAAGCTGGTAAATATGATCTTCAGGATCGCCGAAGTGGGGTTAAGGGCTTCGGTGCTACCGGAGGCGTGAATCCTGGTACTCCTAAGACAGTTACCTTGGACCTGAATGACGTCATGCGCAACAGTGGAAATAGTGTTGTCGGCGGTTGTTGTTAGTAATCATGCTGAAAAGTCTTGACTAACTTCATTAGTGTATAGCTCGAGCCACTCGCGCAATGCACACTCGTTGTCACATCAATTCTCCATTACTATCTTATTTGCCGAAAGACCCAATGAAGAGAGGTTGGGAAAATCACGTATTCTACATGCCTAAGGACTGGCTTCACACACGCAGGAACAGAAATGCATCGGCCCTTTCTTAGGAAATCCAAAATGCAGAGGGCTGCTTCCGTGCGATGAAGGTCGGACAATGAAGGTCGAACATCGAAGATCGAACAAGACAAAATAGGCAGTCTTTAGAGTAAGAGAGCGAGGGCTCCAATAGACGCGGTTGCGCCACAGACCATATTGAACCTGAAGTCAATGGAGCAGCGAAGCAGGCTGATCGATTCGTGAACAAGGGATGATGGGCTGGTGAGATTCAAAGATGGTCGATCAACTGGCGATCTTCCACCCACTCAGCCAGTTCAAATGCTTCCAATTCTGACTCGGGCCTTCAATACCAAACACCACAACACGAAAGTGCAAGAACATTCCGAGTATGAGAAGATATAGTACGGTGTATACTGCTCCACGCAATTTATCATTGGCCGTCCGAGTGAACCAGTCGACACAAAATCCAAACGTGAGTATAGCGTAGTACAGAGCTGGGTAGTAATGATGGACATATGTCACTCGTGCCATCACCACGAAAGGTAAGTAATGCAAAATCCAGCCAATAACTGGATACAGGCCGGAGTAATGTATATGGTTGATCTCCGCTTGCGAGAGCTCGTTGTATCCTCGCTGCCAGCGCACAAGGTACCAGAAAATGAGGAATCCGAAAGCAGCCAGACTGGCACTGCTGCCCCAGTAGACGATAGGATTTCCCAGGAGATAGTACTTAACAGTGTTATCGTCCCAGGAACACATGCGAAGGCCAACATCCAAGATTGGCCACTGCCAAAACTTTGAGGCAAGGTCATCCTGTTTGTCTGGGTCAGGGACTAGAGCATTGTTGGAAGTCATCATAGCAACATTGAGATGAATGAAGTCTTTCCAGAATGGAGATCTGTAGGAACCAGGATCTCCCGGTGGAACTAGAGATACAAGTAAGTAGACCGATTATTGTAATGAGCAAATGACAAAGAGGCATTCCTTACGTCTTTCGTTGTAGTGAGACTCAACGTTCCAGTGTGTATAAACATCACTAGACTTATTCTCCTTGACACAGGTGGTCTCAATTTGCTTGAAGCCCCACTGTGGAAGATTCACATTTCCGGCCCTGAGGTAACAGCCTAAGACAGGATGCTTCAGACGGAACGCCGTGGTAAGGGTCCTGACCCTACTCCTGTCCTTGGAAGCGACATCATCAATGACTTCAACCGCCCAATGATCCTTCTCATCTCCGATAGTGATATTGCCATAGCAAGATACTTCGTAGTGGCCTTTAGTTACCGGCGCGGAAATCGCATGTGAGTGCAGATTTCGCCCTGTTTGCCCATGAATCAGACGTATCACATCACCGTCGCCGACAAATCTCAGCGGACCACTTGGATCATAAGCGATGTCCTGGCGGTTGGGATAGATGAACCAGTCATTATTCGCATCTTTGTGGTGGTAACATGTGACTTGTTGTTGGGCAGATCCTTCAGGGTAGGTCTGAACATGCGAATGCAACAAGCCACCACCATAGCCCATATTCTTCAAGGTGACCCTGGAGCCATAAGCGACCTCAAGAGGACTGTCCTGACCGACCTCGGTTCCCTTGAGATTTGCTTGAAAGAGCGAACTCATCTGCGCGTCGCCAGGACCGCTATTTTCCAGAATCCAGAAATGGGCGTAAAACGAGAGAGTGTAAACAATGCATGGCACGACTATCAAGCCAGCTATGCGAGCGAAGAGGTGATTCGCCAGAACAGTCTGTCAATCGTTTAGTATCTGGTCAGGTCACCAAGAGATTTCGCAACTAACCCTTGGCACCTTCACATTACCAAATTTGTTCCAGAGATCTTCGACTGTGTAAAGACCTACAATCGCCGTGCAGAAGAATCCAACCCACTTGACACTGCAGACACAGCCGATACTGATACCGGTGAAGAGTAGCCATGCAAACCATTCAAAGGAGAAACTCTTTGACTGCAGTCGATGGAATTTCGCCCAACATAAAGTGGTAGTGAAAGTGAAACATAGTAGCATGGAGTCAAGCAGAATGAATCTCGAGATCGTCGCATATGAGTTTTCGAACAACACCATCAGGCTGATGAGCCAGACAGTAGCCCGACGGAATCCAAGCTCGCGAGCGGTAAAATATGCCAGGGGGACGCAAGCCGCACCAAAGGCAGCATTGAATACACGCATGAAGGTGTAATTGACATCCTCCGGATATTGCTCACCGGACTTGAATTCGAAAGACCCGTTATAGCCAGCCAAATATCCGGAAAGTCCGACCAGCATCTTGCCTAATGGTGGGTGGACATCGAAGTAGAACTCGCGCTTCAAATAGTGGGACCCGAACTTGCCAAAGCTGATCATCAGGACTGGGTTAGCCTGATCGTGCACTACCATAAGACAGTGACATCCTTACTGCGCTTCGTCCCATGTGACGATATTCGAGCGTCCAATGCGATACATGCGGGTGAAAATCGAAAAAGCCGTGAGCAGCACTGGCGCGATGATAGGCTCCCAGTAGGCTAGGTCAGAGCTCGGCCGAGGCTATACCTCGTAGAAAGTATGTAAGCAGCTTTCTGAAGCTATTCGGTTGATAATGTTTACTCCCCAGACAGGAGACAACCCTTACCTTGTATTTCACTTCTATTTCATCCTCAAGATTTTGCTTTAATGCAAGACCTGGCTTCTCTCCACTCACAGCAGTCCTCCGCCTCACATCAGGTGCCATTTTGGCTCCGGTGCTTGAGCCGGTGGATTCGGCCATAGCTCAGAGAATAGAGGACTTCCAGAGAAGAAAGCAAAGGATAAGAGAAGGCGTGCGGTGTAGGTGTTGTAGCTGGAAGCGAAAAGGGTTAGAAATGCTGTCGTAAGCTGGCACAGTACGCCCGGCGAAAATTGAGGGTTCAAATTCAAAAGGAAATAAAGGTCATTTCTCGCGGGTGAAGATGAGCTTCATGTGTCAGAAATAAAGATGTAAGATTTAATGGTGGTGGGGATCGAAAAAGGAGATGTGCTTGAAATGAGGGGCTCCGAAGCAGTAGCAAGGGGAAATTCAACTGAAGGAGTTCGATAAAGTGGAAATGCAGATAAGAAGCAAGAAATAATAAAACAAAAAAGAGTATTTAATCACGGCAGAAAGGAGCAGTGGGATCGAGAGGAGATTGGAGGAAACGGCGAATTGCAAACAAAGGCATAGAGCAGACGCACCCAGATGAAAATGAGAGTTGGCCTGGAGTTAACATGGAAAGCCCGGGAGCACGTTTGCATGTTTCCGCCCCACTTTGGGGCTAGCTTAGGTATTGTTGGGGAAGGGCAGTCCAGACAGCCCGAGCCCATCAGCAATTGCAATCATAGTGCAGAACTAGTTGGTCATCCTTGTACTCCATAACTAAGTAGTTGCCTGAGTAACTAGTTGTGTGCACGGTGCACTAAGCAACTTCAGCTTGTTTGCCTTACTCATGAATTGCTTCCACAGTGGCTGCTCCACAAGGTCTGAGGGTCCTAATTGTAGCTCATAGATGCATCAATCTTTATCTAAGCACGCCAAACAATCATGTCAAGCTGCAAACTTGTATCAAATTCGAAGGTCAATTGTATGTAGATACAGACTCAATGTGCGTGGCTCGAGATTCTATCACAAAACTTTCAATGGTTGGAAGGTGCACAAAAAACCAGAAACAATCAAATCTAAAGACAGAAATGGACGTCATCCCATTTATAGAGTAAGTCAGTGATGAAGAAAGTCAAGAGGCCGCCAAGAAGATGGAGATAGCAAAATCGTAGCATACTTGAGTGCGACGAGATGTTGGCAATATAACGAGCTCAATCGTTCTCTTCCTGCCCAAGACGGCTGTAGTGGTTATTTTGTGGTGATGAAGTAGATCCCTTGTGATGACTGATCATGGTCGAGATCCAACCACCGAATCCCTCCAATCGATTAGGATGACTCTCTGTGTTTCCAGACCTGGCAGATTTGTTATAGGCACTGGGACTCATATTGGGAGGATCGATATCCAGTCCAGGGATGGCATTATCCGCTCCCAAGTGGCCATAGTGTCGTCTAATGTCGAGTGAAGGCACAGGGGAGCCAGCACTCATCAAGGAGCCACGTTCAGCTTGGGTTGCTGGCGTCGGCATCGAAGTCGTCGCATCGCCGAACAAGGTATCCATATCCTCCAACCGGACGCCACTTGTCTCAGGATATAGGAAATATACTTAGGGTACTTGTTAGACAGGCTGGGACGGTGCAAGAAGAAAAAAACCTTATACGGACCTAATACAAAACTGCATGCACAGAAGAAAGCATGCACTAGATAAAGGCGCCACTTGATTGCGGCTTGAAGGACAGGCGTGACTTCGCCGACTAGCCAGTTGAAGGCCCAGTTCGTGGCAGTGCTGATACTGGCGCCCTTCGCACGAATGCTTAAGGGCAGAATTTCGGGGGGGTAAAGCCATGGTATAGGCCCCCAAGATGCACCGAAAGCAGCATTGTATATCATGACAAATATGACCGTAAGTGTCGGTGTTGCCGCGACATCTATATAGATGAAATATGAGATCAAAGATAGAGACACGATCATAGCCACTGCACCTGAGAGAAGAATTGGCCGTCTTCCCCACTGGTCGACAAGATACCACGGAGGCACTGTAGAAGCAAGATAGGATATGGCGTTGATGCCGGTCATCAAGATAGCATCACGGCCAGCCCACCCTGCTGACTCGAAAACGAGTGGGGCGTAGTAAGAGATGACATTGATTCCGTTGAGCTGAGCCAATGCCTGCGCTGACATCGCGATCAATACCCGCCTGTAGTAACGTTTGAACATGTCGCTGTACGACCTTTCGCCCTCTTGCCGTTGAAGAAGAACATTCATCTTAATCTCTCTGTACTCTTGTCTGGCTTTGTCGTTATGCAAATCACCCTTACCATACAGATTTGCAATAACTACCATACCTTCTTCGTCGAAATCATTGTCTAGCAGCCATCTATTTCTATGTTAAAACAATGTCCAGAGTAAACATATGTCTGATCGGTGCATACTTACCTGGGAGATTCGCAAATGATCAGGCTTCCAACACCAAGCAAAGCGCCCATGATGCATTGGCAAAGTAGTGGAAGACGCCATGAGTAGTTGCTATCTATGAAGCTGCAGAAATAGTCTACCCAGACACTTGCAGCGTAGCCGGCAATATTCCCTGTAAATTCGATGCAAGCTAGCTTTCCGCGATTGTGAGGGGGCTGTTTGAGGATGTGTCAGTATACATTGTAAATATACTGGGACGAATTAATGGTAATCATTACCGAGATCTCAGACTGATAGACCGGCACGATTGTAGAAAGTGCCCCAACGCCTAACCCTGCAATGATGCGGCCGACCATCATCATAGGCAATCCTGTCGCAAATGCCTGGAAGCCACCGCCAATGAAGAAGACAATTGACCCGTAGAGAATGGTCTTTCGACGCCCGATCAGGTCACCGACTCGTCCAACAAGTAAGGATGAAATGAATGCTCCTACTTCAAGGATTGCAACAACTGTACCGATTGCCGCTCGCGACGGTTGATTAAAGTAATCCTTGAAATACCATCCTCTAGATTGCATCAGATGTCAGCGCCTGGGATCAAGGTTACCCAATATGAGACATACGTTATGATACCAGACATCACACCTTGGTCATAGCCGAAGAGGAAAACGCCCAGGGACACAAAAACACTTGTGAAATACCTACGTTACGTCAGTTAAGCATATGTGAATAGTTCATCACTCGATATAGATTCCCCTTACAGCAACGGTTTGCCAACCAGTCCATGCATCTGAGCATTTTGTCGATCGTTTGGGGACATTATGGTTGCTAGAATACGTTCTGATCGCGAGATCTTCCTGGGTGGAGGTTCAGGTATTTCGATTGATGGTTTCTCGGTTGCGAAACCGCCGATGGCAGGCAGGTCTGATATATGGACACGCTTTGACTGCTGCGGCCGGTCCTCGGATCTAGTGAGGCCAAAAGTATCTCGATTCGGTTGTTCAGAGAAGGTAGTTCGTAGAAGATGCGCTGCATCGGCAGGCTGTTCAGCCAGATCACCACTATTGGTGAAGATAAAGTCTGAGGAGTGACCTGATGATAGCGAAGAACGCCGGCTTCCCCCCTCAGCCGCAGACCGTCCTACGTTGCCGGACGCTTCAGCGGACAGTCGCTCTTGAGAACGTAAGTACCGCAAGGGTATGTTTGGAGAAATATGCCTTTGGGACGTTTGAAAAGGAATGTTGGCGGTTCTAGTGGGCTGGACGTGGCAGCCCCTTTCCCCAAACAATCAATCGTCGTCTCCTCTTTCTTCCGGTATACTTGACTGACCGCTTTCACCACTCTGTTCCAAGGGGTAGCCAAGACGCTGTTTGGCAAAGCCGCTAAACAGAAGTACGCACCGACGTGCTTCTCTAATTGAAGAAGCAGTTTAGAATGCAACGCTTAGAGTGAGGCGCGACCGTCAAATCCGTGCCTGCAGTTAGAGCAACAGGACACTGCGCTGGGACAGGAGGGACACGCCTGAGCGAAAGTCTTCCAGGTCGACGATAGTGTGTAGCAGAAGACCAGCGTATGGAGGTTTGGTAGGCGGAGAGCGGTCATGCACTAATTGGCAGTGGTCATAAGGCTGCTCACGAGACAATTGCCAAGTTGGTCGATCGACACAGGATGACGGAGTCCGGGGCGCCGACGAGGGTCAGGTGAAGATACGGTAGGTAAGACAATCACGATATTGGCACGAGATCAGGAGTGAATGAGTTCGAGTACTACAAAAGTGGGCGGAGATAGAGCATACTAGCCTCACTGAGCAGGAATAGCGTACAGAGTACGGAGTACGGAGTACAGTGAAGGCTATTGAAATTAGGAGAAAGTCGGCGGCTGGGTAAGTGTTGTGTCTATGAGAGGTGGAGGGACCCCGCAGGCCATGTTGGCAGACCAGCAACGTAAACTCCGCAGTCCGCACACGTCGACGGTCTAGCTAGTACTAGAGTAGGAGTAGGCTAGGCTGAGCTACCCGTCGCGTAGCTACATACCCGCACTCTGAAAGGGATAATGTTTTAAAGTGAACCTCCGATACAACAGTTGAAAGCGGTACACCATATTTATCATTAGAGATAAGGAAATGAGTATAGTAAAGGGGCCGCAAATTCTTAACTGACTGATTAGAGAGCTAGATTTTGTAAGTTTTAATCAGTAGCTTAACTATTGCTATGTGATTATCACTTGTATAGGATGTTAGCTAATATTCTAACCTTGTTTCTTGATTCAAATAATGTATTTACTTCTTAAAATAGTAATCCTTTTAGAAGGAAGACTTCAATGTACAATTATTCTTATATCAAGAAAATAATCATATCTGTATAGTAGTTCCAGGGGTAGAACTATCATTATAAGTGGAAAAATCATTGTTCCGGGAATTGTTTTAAGTTAGTCAATAGAGATTCACTGTATTGTGTTAGCATGTACTACAGAGTACCACAGAGTATTCCGCAATTATGTAGTGTCTTATTTCTGTATAAGTGCCCGTTAACGAATCTCGCTATAACGAACCAGAGTAGCATCCGCAAATGAGTTCATCAGGAGTTCATTGGATAAGGGACTTGCAGCACAACGAACTGATACAAATATGTAGCTTAACCATTCATATAGCAGTGCTCATTTGGTCAGTATAGCGATCTTCATATGTAAAGAAAGACTCTTGAGTATGTTATCATAAAAGATCTTTTAGCAAAATCTCATAAGCATATTAAGCTATCACGAATCTGATGAGAGAAAGTTCAGCTTGAGTGGTTACCTTTTAAAAACGGGATATCGGTTGCGAAGCGCTAAGAAAGCGCTAGCTTTGCAACTCTATGATGATGATCGGTTATTTTGGGAGGCAATTTTTGAATTTGATTGGCTACCCCAATGACAGTAATGTGAATGACAGTACTATTAGGTAATGTGACAGTTTCCGATGACAGTAACGTGACTTTCAAATTAGTTCCGGCGGCTGACGACCATGACTTGATGGAGTAGAGAAAATAGACTTCTATCTTCCCCCCGCCCCTATGGTTATAAATCTGTACCGTAGTATAATGAAGTTAACTTAACTAACTTAACTAGGTAACTTAGTTATCTAGTCTATAGCTTACCTAATGGATCTAAGAACATCTAACTATTACCACCCCAGTATTTCTTTCCCAAGTCTCATGTAGCCGCCCAAAGTGGTTAGTGCGCTTTGGAACGCCTTTGGCTGAGGGTGGCACCCGCAGACAAGGCACTCGGATAATAATTTAGATTGGTCAATTGCAAGTCACCACCACCGGTTACCGTCGCCCATACCTGGAGGGTGGTAAGACTACGTACTTATGGCATTTTCCATATTTTTAACACGATAGATGGTTCAAATTTTGATAGACTCTTCATCGTGTCCGGGTACAAGGGACAGATCTCGAGAAAGAGCGGTCTGATGTTGTAACTCCTTCTACATTGTATGTATGAGTGTTTGAAAACCCAAGTTGGAAGTGCTGTTACTTCTTCCTTTTTGCTATGCTGGACATAAATTTATAGGAATTTTGTAAAACCAAAGACAACCTACACTTCTCAAGTACGAGCATGTTTAACCAAAATAATCTTCACGAATCCAGTAATGGCTGGTCGAGATGACTTACGGCGGGTACAAGATACCTCGAGTACTCCAGTCAGAGAATCTAGTGAATCGTTCACTACTCATGGAGGCATGCGTACATTTGATCCGTCAATCAATGACCTCTGACGGTATTCTCCGTCGAAGCACCCCTCTTCCATTGGCCTGAACTCTAGGAACTTGCTTTTTAGTTCAAGAACCAGGACAATATCACCGAGGTAGACAATCTAGGCAAGCGAGACGATATTTGCACGCCTGATAAATGTAGGAACAGATTAGGGTCGTGCTGAACTTGGGTAGGTCATAAGAAACAGATACATGTATGACAATGCCACAGAGAGAGACCGAGTTAATTATGTATGGGGAATATACATCTATATATGTTCTCAGGCCAGCAAAATGTTAAACCCCTCCCTCTCAATATATACAGTGTCTGACATATAGGCATATTTACGACGCACCAATTCAAAGATCACAAGTCCCGCACTGGTGCTGGGTACCTGACGAATAGCATCTCTGGCAAATCCGCGAAATAGCCACTGTCCCCAGCCTCCGGCCCTGGACGCCTTTCGCTTGCATCGTTTGAAAGTTTCCTGATAGGCATGATAATAAAGAAGTATCATCTGTCGCCTTGGTGGAGAGAAACTGGCTTGGTGATCAAGGTACTCCAGGCGAGTAACATGAATACTTTGGATAATAGATAGCGGGCGTTGTATGGCCTGTTGAGACACTGAAGCTATAATACCCGCAGCCATAAGAAAACACGGCTCCAATGCATAATGAGGTCTAATGAGCGGGACACCCCGGTCACTAGACTGGGAAGCTTGTAAAACATGGGCACCATGAGTGCGCGAAGAGCCATAGTACCATGTGACGAACGAGTAATACGCCTGTGATTTTATGAACTCGAACGACGTGAAGAAAAAAGCGTAGCCGAGAGAATCACGCAAGAAAGAAAGGCTCCAGCCTGCGAAAATACCCCGGGCCCCAATCTGGGTAAGCTTTTGACGGCCATAATGCCACATACTCCGGTATTGTCCCTCAAGCAGATCGTTTGTTCGTAGACGGACTTGGAGAGCATCGAGAGGAGCAGCTACTATGGACTGAATTGTCCCAGCTATGAACCCTGCTGCGAACGTGTTTGAAGGTGAAGGAGGAGGGTATATACATTTGACGCCTTTCGAGACAGATTCGTTGAAAGTTCCGAGAACTTGAAGGTATGACGTATATAGTATGGCACCAATTCTGCTTTTTTTTTAGCGGAAATTCCGCAGATGGTACAGCTAATCGTATAAGCTTACCCGGCATTGGCTAATAAAGGAGGCATGATTTGATTGGGGATGAATCGCCATCCATACGTACGAACAGCATGCATCAGAAGGCCTGGTGTAGTCGTATGCAGGGACCAGCCAGATTTCGTTGAGTGGGGGTTGACAGCCCTGGCAAATGCCTTTTGATATAGAAACCGGCCCGGGAAAATCAGCCAACGGGAGGGACAGAAGGTCAAAGAAGGCGAGGCTACGCACCATATAGCTATGCACAAGGCTGGTCAATATCCAACAATATATATGATTCTCGTTCACGATGAGAGGGTTCTCTTACTCAACTCGGGTGCGAAAAAAAGCTTTGATAGGTGCTCTGAAATAGAATGCAACAAACTGCGCACTCAAGGCACGAATACCAGCAGCAGAGGCACCAGTTGCAGCATTGTGTCGAGGTTTCCTTCGAGATGTTGGATCCGATTGAGCCTGGTCATCAATGCTCGCTTGGTCTTTAGGTGCATATGATACATCATTTGACATCTTGAAGGCTCATAAGAACTGTGAAGAGACCAAATTATTGACTTGACAGAATAGCATGAACGGCCAAGACGAGAGCATGACAATTTAAACTCAGATTTTAGAATGATTCAGTCGTGCATTGTGTGTACTGAAGAGAGGTACGATGAGATGGTGAGGAAGGATACAGGATTCTGAGCTGAAGAAATGGCTCAGATCCTGAGATCGAGCGGGATCTTGACAAAACATCCACAGGCAAGACGATTGAATAGCTGAGAAGAGTGTCGTCGACATTCTTACCCACTAAAGGGTGGTTATACAAACAGCAACAAGGCGCTAAACAAACATCTCAAACATTCATTACTAAAATCTTACTTAGCATGGGCAAAGCGCGCCCCGACTCGCGTCGAGACTGTGCCTAGCTTCTGTCTCCGCGACTGGTAATTAAAGGTTCATTCATTTGCAAATTAACGCGCTGCTACCCTGTTGCATCATCTCCGGACACTGGCCTCCTCAGATTCTACATCAGGTCACTCGTAGCTTCTTTTTCCTCTCAACATCATCCACTTCGGTTCTTCACGCCATACGTCCGCTTTGAGAATCTTGATATAGGGCCGCGTGCTGCTACGGCGTTTCAAGCGTTTCGCCTTTGCCACCGGAAAGCTCACATCATGGCAGAAGACATCTTGATTGATAAGAATACATTCTTCAATCGTCTGACGAGCTTCTACTCGGCATGGAAGTCAGATAGACGCTCTAACAATGCCACTTTTGGCGGCGTCTCATCAATTGTTATTCTCATGGGGAAGACAGACGAGGCTAACAGTTTTCAAAAGAATAATGCGATGCATGTAAGTTACTGCTCAGCCGAATAATGTGGCAATGTGTTAATCAATTATGAAAGTTCTGGCTCCTCGGTTATGAATTCCCTGCTACTCTGCTAGTATTCACCACCGAGGTTGTATATGTTGTCACTACTGCTAAGAAGGGTATGTTCTTCTATTGACTAAATCGCAAGTGGTTTGAGCGCTCATTGATATCAACATACGTTTCGCTAATACGAGTCACAACTCCTAGCCAAGCATCTTGAGCCACTCAAAGGGGGAAAAATTCCAGTAGAGATTCTGGTGACCTCGAAAGATCCCGAAGAGAAAGTGAGATCATTTGAGAAGTGCATAGAGGTCATCAAGACGGCTGGTGTAAGTGATGATATGTTTACCACGACTGATGTCGGATGCTAACGTATAATGCTTTTTTAAAGAGAAAGGTTGGTGTCTTGCCAAAAGACACAGCATCCGGTCCTTTTTCTGAGGACTGGAGACGGGCTTACGCGTCAGCCGTCGGAGAGATGGAAGAAGTCGACATCTCAAACGCTCTCTCGACTGCATTTGCAATCAAAGATACAGACGAGCTAGTGAGTTATTTTAAGCTTCGTGGTATCGGTATGGATAAAGGCGATCACTAATTGTGCGGCAGGTCTCTATTCGAAACGCGTCCCGGGCCTGTAGTGGCTTGATGGCCGAGTACTTTGTGGATGAAATGTCTCGTCTGCTTGACGAAGAGAAGCAAATGACCCACAAGGCTCTCGCCATGAAAATTGATGCGAAAATAGACGACGCGAAATTTTTCAACAAGTTGGCGAAACTTCCGACTGATTTCGATCCTCAACAGATCGACTGGGCATATGGCCCAGTTGTACAAAGCGGAGGGAGATATGATCTCAAGCTCACGGCCACTTCCGACATTAATAACCTTCAACCAGGAATCATTGTTGCAGGATTTGGGATTCGCTATAGGACCTACAGTTCGCTGATCGCGCGTACATATTTGGTCGATCCAAGCAAATCCCAAGAGGCAAACTATGCTTTCCTTCTGAATGTTCGTGATGCGGTCGTCAAAGACATGCGCGAGGGTACAACGGCAAAGGACTTGTACCATAAAGCAATCAGCTTGGTTCGGGCCAAGAAGCCAGAGCTTGAGACGCACTTCGTCAAATCTGTTGGTGCAGGTATTGGAATTGAACTCCGCGATCCTAACATGCTACTTAATGGGAGAAATGATAAAATCCTGAAGAGCGGCATGACATTCTCTATTACGGTTGGCTTGACTGATGTTGAGGACACTAACGGCAAAGACCGGGGTAATTCCGTTTACTCAATGGTTATCACGGATACTGTCCGTGTCGGTGAGAATGGCCCACTTGTTTTCACGAAAGATGCCGGTGTGGACATGGACTCAGTCTCCTTTTATTTCGGAGATGAGGAAGAATCTGAAAAGCCTGTCAAGGAGAAAAAGGAAGCCAAATCCAGTGCCATTGCTAGTAGGAATGTGACTCGAACAAAGCTACGTGCCGAGAGGCCAACTCAAATCAACGAAGGCGCAGAGGCACGGCGCCGTGAGCATCAAAAGGAACTGGCCACCAAGAAAACAAAGGAAGGGCTGGACAGATTCGCCGGTACCACAGGAGACGACAATGGGGTCACACACAAAAAGTTCAAGAGATTCGAGTCTTACAAGAGGGATAATCAATTACCTCCAAAAGTGAAAGACCTCACCATCTATGTTGACCATAAAGCATCGACGGTCATTGTCCCCATCATGGGTCGTCCAGTCCCGTTTCATATCAACACTATCAAGAATGCCAGTAAGAGTGATGAGGGAGAATATGCCTACCTGAGAATCAACTTTCTGTCACCAGGTCAAGGTGTTGGTAGAAAAGACGACCAGCCCTTCGAAGACCTCTCAGCACACTTTTTGCGAAATCTGACACTTCGGTCCAAAGATAACAACCGACTCGCTCAAGTCGCTCAGGATATCACAGAGCTGCGGAAAAACGCACTACGACGCGAGCAAGAGAAGAAGGAAATGGAGGATGTGGTTGAACAGGACAAGCTGATTGAAATAAGGAGTAAGTGATTCGAGGTACTCAACTCACTGAACCCTTTGAGAGTAACAATTCTAGATCGTCGTCCCGTCAAACTACCCGATGTTTATCTCCGACCACCGCTGGACGGGAAGCGAGTTCCTGGCGAGGTCGAGATACATCAGAACGGCCTTCGCTATATGTCACCCTTTCGAAACGAACATGTCGACGTACTCTTTAGCAATGTCAAACATCTCTTCTTCCAACCATGCGCTCATGAGCTGATCGTCTTGATACACGTCCATCTGAAGACGCCTATACTAATAGGTAAAAGAAAGACCAGAGATGTTCAATTCTACAGAGAAGCTACTGAAATGCAGTTTGATGAGACTGGTAATCGCAGACGTAAACACCGCTACGGGGACGAGGAAGAGTTCGAGGCTGAACAGGAAGAACGGCGGCGCAGAGCAGCATTGGATCGCGAATTCAAGGCCTTCGCTGAAAAAATCGCAGATGCTGGCAAGGACGAGGGGGTAGACGTTGACATCCCTTTTAGGGAAATTGGCTTTACTGGTGTTCCCAATAGGTCAAATGTCTTGATTCAGCCTACAACAGATGCTCTTGTCCAATTGACAGAGCCCCCGTTCTTGGTCATAACTCTGAATGAGGTTGAAATTGCCCATTTAGAACGCGTACAGGTATGGTACAAGCTTCAGAGTGATATTGCAAGATTAACATGGCTCTAGTTTGGACTGAAAAACTTTGACCTCGTCTTTGTTTTCAAGGACTTCCACCGGGCACCCGTACACATAAACACGATCCCCGTGGAGTCGTTAGAGGGTGTGAAGGATTGGCTGGATTCCGTTGATCTTGCTTTCACGGAAGGCCCCTTGAATTTAAACTGGACTACTATCATGAAGACAGTAGTGAGTGATCCGTACGGATTCTTTGCTGATGGGGGTTGGTCGTTCCTTGCAGCAGAATCCGACTCAGAGGGCGGATCTGATGAGGAAGAGGAATCTGCTTTTGAGCTCTCCGAATCCGAGCTTGCAGCTGCAGATGAAAGTTCCGAAGATGACAGTGAGTTCGATGACGACGCCAGCGCTGAGGAGAGCGATGAGTTCAGCGCGGAAGAAGAGAGTGGTGAAGATTGGGACGAGTTGGAATTGAAGGCGAAAAAGAAGGATCGGGAAGGTGGTTTGGACGACGAGGAGCGGGGAAAGAAACGAAAGAGATAACTTTCCTACAACCCTAGCACAATGACATACTCATTATTAGTTCGCTTGCGAACTACATCAACCGCGACTGCTACCAGTACTGCTATGCTCGCAATTTACGGAGAATACTGCCGCCCCTCAGTAAACATGGATTCTCTTTTCATTTGCCAAAAATGAAACACTGCCATGCCGGACTTCAAGAATCGGTTACCACTGTTGATTCTTGGCGACTGTTGTGACCATCTGTGGTGTTATTATGTGCAGGAGCTCCATTCGCCCCGTCCAAATATCGAACCGTCAAAAGGCAGCGTCACTTTCCTGCCCTCATGGAAGACCACATATTCCTCATCCTCTCGACTTGGTTCGGTGTGAAATTCTCGTAACAGTCATCAGAGGAATAGTCCATATAATTGTGGATTGCGTCCAAGCCAGGAAGTTCTGGACATGAATCTTTTTGCGCAGGGCATCCATTCGTCGGCTCGGACTGCTGCGGAGTGTCATCAATGTAGTCGCCCTCGCTACTGGATGAGCAAGTGTCTCCTTCAAACGTATGTAGGAGTCCATTCCAGTGCCCTATCTCGTGCACAGCAGTTCCGCCTCGATTGTAATGCGGCAACAAACCTCCAGGCATAGTCTTGGCTAAGACATTGCAGCCGTCCTTGATGTATGTGGAGCGCGGGCTACTTGCATTTATGCTTGGGTCAGGTAAAGTGCAGAAACCGAGAACGCTGGACGATGGGGAATCCACTTGTCGCGCAACATCGTCTTGCAACGCTCGAGCGCCTCCATCGGCTGAGAGCTGAAGATCTGTCTGGAAATAAACATTAAGAGTGCTATAACTCCCTCTGCGCAAAGCGCTCTTCATTGCAATGTCATCCTGGTTATGGGCCCACGTATCATTCACATGACGAGTGATACCTTTGAGACGATAGGATATAGTGGCATTTTTATATGCCTCCTGTAGATATACCAACTAGGTTTGGGTCATACTCAGCGGACGTGGTCATAAAAATCACGGGGCAGAACAAACCTGAGAAGCGATCATTTGGTCCGAAACCGAGTTGGCCGCCGCCTGGCTGCTCACAATATGGAACCATGTCTCTATTTCGATTGTATTTACAGCCACACGAGTCTCATGAGACAAGGATGAGTTATCTCGTCGGTTTGACACGCTCAGCCTCCTGTGCTCTGCTTTCAATTGATCGCTGGGAGCAGGCGTAGCACAGAAACCGCGGTCTAAAGACGATGCGCTGCACAAGACCCGCATGCCCACCATGATAAGCATCAACACAGATAGTAGGGAATTCATGAGATTCATACTAATTCTTGGAAAATGGAGAATCACCTCTTTCAAGGGACCAACCGCACAATATAAAGGAAAACGAGGGGCCGTTACCAGTGGTTACGTGGAATGTGTTGTTAGCCAAGTGCAACAACTTGTCAAAAAAATTCCGTACGTTCAAGAATGCCGCAGCTAGGGATGCATGCGCAGATTGGAAGAACAAAAACAGTGTTTTCCCGCACGCGTCTGATCAGAAGAGCAGACAACTTAGAACAGCTCTGATCAATTTGTATAGACGAAAGTGAGGCACAATCCGAGCAACTCCATGAATACAGCCCTCAGAAACATGTAGGTCCGGGTCGAGAAACGCAACCACCATACAACGAGCAGGACTGCTTGGAAAATAGAAAGAGAGAGAATACATTCCTGAGGCAGGCCATGGGACGAGCGAACGGTGGATATCGCTAAGGAGCATGGGACCCAAACCTCTCATCTCTTCCTGTTGAAGTGGCAGAGCTATCATGATCATTGTTCCACGTCAAGTAAGTATGATCGCCGAGTTTTCTAGATGAACGTAGATTAGGACCGTTCCTCTCACCCCATTTCAGAATGGCATCTTAAGGGCATGAAAGTCCGTACCTGGGTCGTACTAGGTGAGCGATGGTAAAAAGTGCGCCGAGCACAATGCACACTCCACCAACAACTACATACGCAATGCCCATAAACGGGTTTTGACCACCAATAACAGTCCGAGTGGATATGAGTATCGACTTCGTACCACCGTACTCCGTGACTGGAAAGCCTATTTAGCTGTTAGCAACCGCAATATTACTACTAGGAGCTAAGAACATACGATCCTCGATATCAAGCTGATAGCTTCCAGCAGCCATGGCCGATGTGTCATTTCTCCGCGATAATTTGCTGAAAGCCGGCAATGCTGCGGTTCTCATCCATACCATAAATTCTTCATCCTCATGAAGATTCGGTATCCCGTCAACATATCCATTTGGATAGCGATCATGCCAATTAGGAGGAGGAACGACCTGCCACTTATCGTACTGGGTTTTCTTAATCAGCTGTTTGTCACTGTCCCATGCTATACCTTTGTTAGTCATGTAATATGTCTGAGCATCATCGCCATTCAAAAGCTGTGGGCTGCTAATTGTATCATTAAATTGCGAATTTGCGATAAGACCGCATGGATAATACGCCTTTCCAGAAGGGTCAAGTTCAAGAGGATCACAAGATCCTCCTTTGATAGTGTCATTGTCAACAGCCTTCCCTTTCAGCTGATCAATATCGAGTGACTTGACGTATCTGCGGTGGTTCTGGTAGAAATTGGTCAGGCGATAGTACATGAATACGGGCGGCTCTAATTTATCTGGAATTTCGAAGATCAAGCGACAAACAGTTGTCCCGTTTTTGTCTAGGCTCTGCCAAGTCGGTGTTGACTGTTCTTTGCTGGACTTGAACGAAGTTTTCACTCTATCCGTAATGGAAGTTGGCTGGGACGATGCCTTGTCGGCACATTCTGAATAGTCTATGACAATCTCTTGGACCTGGAGGCATTTAGCTTCTGGTAGGGCAAGTATAGCTTGGTCCGACACATACCTGCGAGCTTGCCCATAGCAAAAGACCACCGATGGGAGCAAAAATTACGCCGATGACAAAGAAGAGAGGCAATACGCTCTTAGGGGTCAAAATAGGCCTGTTATGAGTCAGTCTTCTTGCCTGAACTGGGATCAGTTGTGGTCTCCTTACTGCCAGGCTTTCAGGCGCTGTTGCCGAAAAGCGGTGTCTGTTTATCTATCAGACTCATGTCAAATTGCATCGAAGATACTGTGCTCACTCGCTGGTCTTCTGTTCCTAGACTTTTTCTCGTCATCGGGACGCCCATGATCTTCGTCACTGTGCTCTGTACGGGATGCTTGTGTACGAGACATTGCTGCTGAACCTAGACTTATGCGTCGCCAGTCATAAGACAGGAGGTTGATGAGAGATGCGGCGCGACTTAAGGATTCTTAGGGGGTGACTTGCACAATGTTCATAGGTGGATCAGGTGGCGCAGAGTTACTAGGCACTACGTATAACGGATGCCGGGACTGCGTGATTGGCGGGTAAAGCTCCCCAGTTTCATGGCCGGACATCTGCCGAGCTGCCGCAGTGCCGTGGCTTGACTGGGGCTAATGTCACGCATTTTCTGAGCCCTGTTTCTGCAGAGCTATGATACAAGTCTACTCTGGTCTCTCACATTATGCAGAGTTCATATACTTCCCGATCACCTGGCATATATGAGGCAAGATATCTCGTGAAAAGGTAGTGAATCGCATCCAGAGTCTAGATATCTTAGGAACACAGGCCGCCCCCAGAGATCAATCTTAAGGCATGACACAAGAAGTTTGCCACAGCCACATCAGCCAAGCAAGCGAAGAGAATTAAAATGCAATCCCTTTAGGTGAGTGGGATACGAGGGAAGCTAAAGCATATCAAGGGTATAAATTATAGGTCGCCTAGGGTCGAAATATGAGTACCAGAAAGGTGGCTAGGCGGCGGCGACTGTCATGTGGTCAATGATAGTCTGTTATGTCTAGGTGCAAACTCAAGCAACATTGTATAATCATGGCTAGTAATGAAGACAAATGGAAAGGGAACATTGGGGTAAAAGCTGAATCACTGCCAACATCGAGAGCCGAATCGCTAATTGACCACAAGAAAGCGCGAAAGATGAGAACCTGATCTAAACTTACAGGTCCTATTCTCGACGATACTGTTCAAAGTGTTCTGGATTGAACCAGCCCACGCGTTCATATGCAGTCCATAACTTGCTTGCCTTGTTCACGTCGATCTTGCAAGCCTGTTGGGCGTCTGTCTTTCGAAACTCCTTACCGACATTCAGGGCTTTAACTCTAGCTTCAAAGATCCGCCGCTTGCTGCATAAATATGTTGCGCATGATAGCCTTAAAGTCGCTGCAAGGCTGAGCTCTGCCGAGCTGAGTAAATGCCTATCTGGGTCACGACTGAGGTCTAACACCTGTCCTTTCCAATCTGCCTTCAAAGCCTTTTCATTGCCACCAAGAGTCTTTATTGACGGGGAATAGTCTTGAATGGAGCTGTAATCGATATCGTCCCGGTTCGTCCCTAAAGTGCGAGCCTGCTTTGCGCTGAACGGTGGCAGCTCAAAATGCTCAAGAGACCTCTGCTTTGGTGTAGATTTCGGAGTTCGTTTGACTCTAGAAATCCGTGGAACGCGGGGTTGTACAGCCACCATTTTCTTCAACGGTGCTGGTGCGAGTTTCTTGAGCTTGGGCTTGGTTGACTGGGGGCAATGACGGTTCATCAGTAGCAACTGACGCTCTAATGTTTCTCGCTCCTGTCTGGCCCATGCTGCTGGATCGCGATTAAACTGCGAAGATACAATCGGTACGCATGAAAGGGCTAGAAGATACTCGTCACGCGTCGGTTTATTTAGTTTGTTCTCGAACCTTGCCATGTGAGAATTGATATGCTGATTGACCAACGCTTCCGCTGTGTTCGGAAGCATGGGGCCAAACAAAGGTTCATCAGTGGCAAAATCATTTAAAGACTCATGTCGAGGGAAAAGAAGAGGATCTCTGGATGTGCCAACGACAGTGTCTTTGTCAATATGTTCGGAAGTGCTTGATTTCCTCTTTTTTGTTCCAGTATAGGGCGTAACGGGCGGCGACGGCAAATTCATTTCTGACTGCGTACGCTTCCGATCGCCTGAGATGGGAGGTAGTTCCATACTATGACTATATGTTGGATCCTGCGACAGTGTGTAACTGGACATCGTAGTCGAATTGAAACTCTCCAGAGGTTTTGACTCTGGAGGGGACATTAGACTGGAGACAGACGGAAGACGACTCATTTTGTTTTATCGGTCTGGTTTTGCGACGGGGCAGGAGTAAGTGAGATTATCACGGAGAAAGAGGCCCAAAGTCGGGACACAGACTCCAGGAGGGGTGAAGGTCAGTCAGTAATTTGATTTAATGATGATTGTGAAAGCAGAAATCACTGCTCGCAAGGTCAGCCCTCGGAAAATGCAAGTCTTCGCCTTGTAGTCGAAGAAGCGCTTTGAGTATAGGTATGGTGTTAATGGAAGTCAATGGAATTAAGACCTGATCAATGCTGGCAAACACACGTGCTATTGATTTGTCAGGGCAGCCTCTTTGTCTGGTGGCAATAAGCAGGTATGACTTGGGTTTCGGCGATAAGGCTCACAATGGCCGAGAGGGAGGAATCCTAGGTACCAGGCGATGACAGATATGTTCTCTGCTGTTGCCTTGCGCTGGAAGAGTTCTGCAAAGAGCGCTCACAAGATCTATAAACGAGCCGAAACCGGGGAGCCCCTTTTTTCCACCGTGTAAGACAGGCTAAGGTAAGTATGAGTCAATGCGCTGATGGCTGGGGCTGCGGTACTAATGAAATTAGGAATCAGATTTCAGCAGTGTTCATGGGATTGCGGGGTTGGCGCGTGGCGGTAGTGAAGGGCAGCTGTTCATGAGATTCGAAGACCCCTTCTTGCGTTGACAGGGAGAGGCTGTAAGTCCGGTGACCTGCAGACCCGGGCGCGGTGATCAATTATCACTGATACGAAGTATGTTATGTGTCATGATACTGGTTAGACTTGCTAGTCATTAAAGATACCATGATTTTTAGGCATACCATATGATGGGGCGGGCAAGTCAATGATCTGCCACATGACGACAATCGCCTTGATAAAAGCGGGGTCATGATTGCTGGTCAGATGAGTACCTGGTACCGGTCGGCGGTACTCAGTCATTTTGGACAGGGTAGGTGGGGTCACTGTTCTCCGTACCTAAAGGTTCAATTCTAGTGCCCGCTTTCAAGTTTGGCCACATCTAGTGAGGGGCAACCAATTCACTTGGCGGTGTGTAAATGTATCCATTTGACAACTTGGAAGATATTATCAGTGCTGATTGGTCTTGCTGCCAGGCTGCAAGCTTAGATTTCCCGTACTTTTTCGATATATGCAACCAAAGATGTATTTATAACTATGTCTAGTACTGAGGAATTAGAAGTTGGATTTTTAGACTAGAATACCTTAGGTACCCAGCAATCATTCTCCTAAATAACAGTAAGTACCTCGAATACCCGCTATCCTGATAAGCAGTTCTAGGTAATAAAGTTTGGCTACCAGGAGATCTTCTCACCACTGAAAACACATTTTTTTTGCCAACAACATTTATTTTCGCTTGTAATTTCCTAGCAATTACCCCAAATTCAGAAAAGTATGAATCACGCAAAAGTTGAGCGATATGTGTTTGGTACTCTACAGCATGCTCTCAGAGATGATTGACCCTAGATACATCGCTGGGTATCCTGCAAGTATGCTATTGTATGACCAACAAAATGTTTGATAGTACTCTCATTGGAGACCTATATGACAACAACATCTTTCAGTTAGGTGTAACGAGATGAGGTACGGTGCTCCGCGGTCTCATCTAGGACCGAGCAGAAAGACCGGGAGAGATTGAACTGTAATGATTGAGGTCAAATGGTTTCTCAAGGTCTGGGAAGCGCATCTGCTTTCTTCATATCCACGATTTTATCAATCAGTGAGGCATTACGTAAGGCCTGTCGAGCCGCCTCATCCCCCGCAATGGCTTTGTTAGTACCCTGGCCAGAACCGAGATGCTTGTTGGTCCAACCCCAGCCAGTGAGATATACCCCAACATAAAATGTTTGCGCCCCCTTTCCTTGTCGCGATGGAGGGCGTTCATCGGTATAGTGAAGCTTGACACCCTTCCCCATGATCTTTTTGGCAAGCGCTTCCTTGGCATCCAAAGTAGACTTCTGGTCACCAAGTCGATCAAGCATCGGCATCCACAATTTCGTCAACCATTGTTCGGCTGTAGCGTAACCATCGACAGGATCAGATAGGATCAGCCCCGCAACATATGCCTCAAAGATATCCGCCTGTGTTTTTGTCCATCTTTTTGGTTGATCTGCGTACTGCGACGGCACTGAAGCTTTGTTGTCCATCTCATACCTAGTTGCAAATTCGGCTAGAGTCTCATTCTTTACAAGTATCTCGCGAATTTGCGATATCCGACCAGAGGATATATCCTGAAACCTATCCCAAATGAGCCTAGTGGATATGACTTCTATGTAGGCGTCTCCTAGAACTTCGAGTCGATCATATGTGGCTCTGAGGTCATTATTCATGCCTGGATGCGTAAAAACTGCACTTCTAAGGCTGTCATCCGAGATTGGAGGTAAATCAGGAAGCTGAGACTGTTGAGTGCCCCCGGCGATCCGGGGCTTCTGATTTCCTGCAGTGGGAAAAGACGGGACATGGACTCCTGCGCGACATAGAGCAACGTCCAACTCGGTCAAAAGCCGCATAATATGCGAAGATGTTTGACTATCCTTAAGTATTGTCGTCCTGCGATTGTCAATAATATTGCGAACCATATTCCTCAGAACGGAAAGTGCTTCATCTTGATGTACTCCATGAGAGGAGGTTTGAGTCGAGGCACATTGGAATGCGTTATGCTACCTCGTGTCAGAATTCGGAGCATACGAGCACACCATTGTACACTTCAAGTTACCTTGAGCTTCTTGCCATCCCTATCGTATAATGGTGAGAAGACGGACTTTCTTTTCGAAGGCATGTCAGAATTTGAGGAAAGGGTACAGGCTAATCTTGATGCGTGGATCATCGCAAGGCGGAAGCGAAAAAACTACTGCTCACGTGATAGTTATTGAGGTCGCGTACGGAGTCGAGCCTCAGCCGCAATCTTGCAACCACTCCCCATGAACTACAGCTCCATTCCCCAAGATGGCGACCCAATATAGCCGAATACTAGAGCTGGCAAAGGTATGACCCTCTAGCAGGAGATATAAACCTCGCCGAAGGTGTTTGGCCATCTCCTGCCTTATCATATGCTTGCTGTTCCTTTCGACTTAAATCCCGACAGGTCCAGTGCCGTATCTTCTCACAAAACTTCAACCCAGAAAGGCTACGGCTGGGAAACAAAGTCTTACGGCAAAGACTACGCGGTCCAAGTCTGGCGGCATGGTATCCGAAAAAGACGGTTTCCTTCCGTGATTTGCAAGCCACCTATAAGCCCCTTGGGTTGACAATGTTCGATGAAGGGGAGGATGATCGGGAAGAAGCCATTCAGATGTACGTTTCTTCGAATTGCCTTCATAACCATTCTAATATTTATCAATAGTGCCAAACTGCGAGGGAAGGGCAGGCCCAAGAAGAAGAGGACAGCGGCAGGTAAGTCTTACCACTCTAATTACTTACACGCCGGACATGTTCTCACTCACATCAAAACTTTAGAGTCACGATCGGCCAAGAAGAAGAAATGAACTCCACTCTAGCCTATATCTCAGCCTTCGTCACGGGTCATGGACATTTCGCGTATATAGAGTCATCGTATTGCAGAGTTTACACCAGTTGTACTGTACTTCTATCGTATCTGTAGGCTCGTTTGATACACGGAACATAGACCAAGACATCAATCCTACATTGCGCGCTTTCTTCGGGTTGAAGAAGTAATAAACATAAGTCTATTGTATATGTGACAGTGCCGACCCCAGAGCCAATTTCGCGAGACGGCTTTCTCCTTTGTAACGCGGACTTTGTATGAATCATCCTCTGGGGCATAATTAACTGATTAAATCCTCCGGGAAGACATCGAGGCATTATTACCATTCCGCTCGGGTAACGAGATATCACATGATTCAGATCTCCCTAGCGGGTGGAAGTCGCGTCCTAAGTAACTCCCGCCGTAAATTCGTCCAGTGACAAATCTGGCAGGATCCTTGCTCCATTACATGAACTGCACAGCTGTTAACATTACTCAATTCATTCGGATGCTTTTTTCTTGCAGGATAATTTACGCTCAAAAGAGGAACTCAGAAGTGTTCTGTTTCATATTCCCACCTAGCTATGAAACCCAGTAAGAATCAGCTGCGAAGGGCAAAGAGGAAAGCTCTGAAGTCTCAGGTATGGTCTGAGTTCTATGCCGAGTCTCGATTTCGCTAATGCTTCGGTCGTCATAGGCTTGTGCGATTGAGAATAATCATGAAACACCTGTTGTGCAATCCTCAGGCCAACGCGTTTCTTCACCTACAGAGCTTCCAACCGTGACAACCAATAGCTTCGAAGAATCTGTGAATTTGGAAGGTGAAAATTCGCTATGGACTATGTATAAGGATGTCATGGGCAGATTCGACGACTTGGAAGATGGGAACTCGATAATAAGAGAACTTCCAAAGCCTATCATCTATTTTGACGATGATAATGAAATTCCCGATGAAGAGGAGAAGGAGCCTGTGATATCTCGGCGAAAGAGAAGAGAAATGAACAAACTTTCCGTTGCCGAGTTAAAGGCAATGGTTCGAAAGCCGGAAATTGTCGAATGGACAGATACATCAGCGCCAGATCCAAGGCTTCTGGTTCACCTCAAATCGCATCGCAACGTGGTTCCTGTGCCTTCTCACTGGTCGCTGAAACGAGAATATCTATCGTCGAAGAGGGGAGTCGAGAAAGCCCCATTTGCGCTGCCGAAGTTCATTCAGGAGACGGGAATATCAGAAATGCGCGATGCTGCTCTGGAGAAGCAAGAGCAGGCTACGTTGAAACAGAAGCAGAGGGAGAGGGTTCAGCCAAAGATGGGAAGGCTCGATATCGATTACCAAAAACTCTACGAGGCATTCTTCAGGTTTCAGACTAAACCAGAGCTTACACGTTATGGGGAAGTGTACTATGAGGGCAAGGAATATGAGACTAATTTGAGACACCTTCGGCCTGGGGAGCTAAGCGCAGAATTGAAAGAGGCACTAAATATGCCTCCCGGTGCACCACCTCCGTGGTTAATCAATCAACAGCGTTATGGCCCTCCTCCATCTTATCCTGCTCTGAAAATTCCGGGTCTAAATGCTCCACCACCTCCTGGCGCAATGTGGGGTTATCATCCGGGCGGGTATGGGAAGCCCCCGGTCGATGAGCATAACAGACCTCTTTACGGTGGTGACATTTTTGGTGTCCTACAACCTCAGCAAGCTGTGCAGCAGGGTGAGCCTGTGGAGAAGGATCTCTGGGGAGAGTTACAGGCACCTGAATTAAGTGATGATGAGAGCGAGGACGATGAGGATGACGCAGCCAGCAGCGAATTTAGTGGAGATGTTGATGATGAAGTGGACACGGGGTTGCAGACTCCCAGTGGGATGGAGACTCCTAGTGGACTAGTCTCATCTATTCCCACCGAGAACGGCGGGCCCGAGAATATCACCGGAGAGTTTGACGTGCGGAAGCATTATCGCGGAACTCAAACAGAGGAGTCTACGAGCCAAAGAAGCGCTTTCCAGGTTATTCCTGAAAGGCAGGCGAATGTTCAGGGTTTCTTTGGGGCTGACAAGGTCTATGAGCTCCACAAGACCTCGGACGGTCTACCTATACTGGGTTCCGAGGATAGTAACAGAAAGCGAAAAAAGCCCGGTGATGTCGATGTCTCCCTTGATCCAGATGCATTGCAGATGGAAGGGGGTATCGGACAGGCTGGAATTAGAAAGATGTACGAGTCGCAGAAGCAACGCGACACAGATCCTGGGTGGAATTTCCAAGAAGACTTGAGTGATATGATTGCTCATGAGAGTCGCAAGAGGCTGAGGAAAGAGGAAGAAAAGCGAAAGAGATAGGAAAGCCTACAGCTTCTATTTTGATCATCCAAGACCAGCTTCTTTGGTACGTCAATTCAGATGAACAATATGAAGATATTCTAGTTGTTCTACTTTGATAGGATAGGTAGTTAGTGGTTATTTGATCTAAGCTAGTATGATAGTGATTGGTAATGTATTGGTACACTATGGTAGTAGAGGGCTAACTATATCATCTTTATTAGAAAGAAGTAAGCCCAAGTAGGCTAAATATTCAGTAGATGTAGTGGAATCGCCCATGGTGATACATTGGTTTGTCCCGATGGCTGGATAGTTCTACTGTCTGTTTCTACCTTTAGTGCATAACTTGTAGTTCTCGATATTTTAATAATCTTTACTTTAATTAATTGACTGGTCTAACGATATTATCCTTGTAATAGTGGAAGATAATAGCCATATCTTTGTTGTTTCGCCTTAGGCAGATCTAGAGTGGCTAACGGCCAGGTCAGGTCAGGTTAATTGGAAATTCTATACCTGACCGCCAGGTTATGATCAGGTTAAAGAAATTTTTATACCTGACTATAGTATAGTTAAAAACGAGATAGTTAGCTATCTTAACTATTCTTGGTACTAAGATCTATCTATTATATCTCTTTTAGTCTTAATATAGTTAAGATAAATCTAGATTAAGTAGTTATTAATCTAGTTATTTTAACTAATATTAAAAAGTATATAAAAATAAGCTTTTTAAATAAAGATAACAAAGTTTTAAAAGAATAATAGTATTCTTTTTATCTATATTCTTAACTAATAATAAGAAAATTCTAGTAATACTAATAGATTTTAATTTTTTCTAAACTAGTTACTATTATAATAGAAAATAATAGAAAAGATATATAATTATAGCTTGGTTTAGACTATATATATTAATTATAATATACTATTCTATTAAAACTATATATTTACTACTAATTAGAGTATAAAAAATAATAATATAATTTTTATTTTACTTCTTATCTTTTTAATTTTAGTTTAGATAATCTATTATATTCTTTCTTTCTATTCTAAAGAACTAAATTATATAATTACAGATTAAACTTATAAGAAGAATTTATACTATACTATTTACTTAATTTTTTTTAGTAACTATACTTTCTAGGAATTATCTAGTTAAATATTAAATATTATATTTCTTATAATAGATTTTATAAGAGTCTTTTTTAAAACTCTTCTATATAGATATATTTTCTGTATTCTAATCTACTACATTTACTTAAGCTCTATTTAAAGAATAAAACTTTTTTATATCTCTAGATTCTAGATATAATTCTCTACTTATAAAATAATTAGATCTTAGAAATATAACAATTATCTTTTATAGTATATTAAAACATCATAGATTACATTTATATAAATATATACCTATAATTAAAATGACACAGTTCTTTTACTTTTATCTTTTTATATCTATTATATATAGAGTAGTGTTAGAATTATAAGTTAATTATAGTTATCTAGTTTATTTTTAGAAGATACTATTGATTTCTTTTCTTCTATTTCTTAGATTTTTATAGAATATAAATTCTTAAAGTAAAATAAACATTTTAAATTAGATCTTTTCTTTTCTTCTAAATCTTCAGATTATATATAATATAAAGAATTAAAAGATTATTTTTATTTAATTCTTAAAAAAAATTCTATCTTTTAAAATTAGTAGTAGAAGATAATCTTTTTTAGAACTTATAGGTAAGCTTAGAAATTATTATTTATTCTTAATTAGAAGTTATTAATAATATAGAATAGTTTTTAAAAAGATATATTATTCTTTAAAATTTCTTATATTTATTATTAAGTATATCGTTATATTTTATAATATCTAGAATTTAAAAACTTAGAAACTAATTCTATAAATTACTATCTTTATAAGAATTATAGAAAAATATTATTAACTATATCTGAATAAATAATTACTTAGATACTAAGTAAAGAACTATTATAGATATTTTCTTATTATTCTTAGATAAATTTTTCTAATTATTATTTTTTCTTGATTTCTATAGTTTATAATAGATAAAACTTTTAGAATCAAGTTTTATATTTTTTAATTATCTATTATCTACTATTTTAAATAGTTGAATATATTTAATTTAGATAAATAATTAATCTTATTATTTCATTTCTCTACTAAAAGTTAAGTTCTTCTAAGTAAGTATAGATTAAGAAATATTTTTTGAGGTTATTTAGAAAGATATATATATAGTTACTATTAAAGTTATTAGATACTAAATATATATTAGTTATAGTAGATTACTAGATTAGTTTTAACTAGAAAGTATTTCTTACTTCAACTAGATATTTTCTAATAGAAGACAAGCCTTGTATCCTCGCTTCGCTCAGCGGCTTGAAGGCTGGGGCTGCTGGCTGGTCTGTTATATATATTCCTAATCAGGAATATGTATATATTATATATATTATTACAGTAGAATAAACTAGTTATAAATATTTCAGAAATACTAAAATACTTATTATCTAATATCTTCTATATTCTACTACTACTATTATTTATCTTGTTTTTTATTTTTTTAAAAAGAAGTTATTTCTTTTATAGATATTTACATTATAAACTATTAAGATTTTTAAATTAATCTAGACTATAATTCTAAGAGAATAATAAATAGTTAATAATATAAGTATATAAATATATATAAAGATAATTTATAGCTATAGTTGTCTTTATAACAATATATTTTTTATAAATAATACTATTTTATCTTCTTCTTCTAGAAAATTAAAATTAATATAATTATATAAAAATAGATAATTAATATAATCTATAGTATCTCTTAATACTTCTTCTAGTTCTTTTACTATAAAACTCTAGACTCTAACTATTAATTATAATATAGTCTATAAATCTATAGTCTATTAATATAGATAGAGTACTTAGTCTACTCTTAACTATCTATTAAACTAGAAGTCTATCTAGATTTAGACTATTAGAATAGTACTAAAAGATACTAAGAATAATTAGATAATCTACTTCTACTATCTAGCAGACTATAGACTATAGATAGATTATATTATTTTATTTAGATTTCTAGAGGATTTCTATATAAATCATTAACTTAATTTATTAGAATATTACTATATTCTCTATTTCAAATTGAAAAATAAAATATTAAATAATTTAATAATTAATATAGACTATAGTTTCTACTTCTACTATTAATAAGAAAAATAATAATAAAGAGAATAATAATAATAAGAAGAAGAAGAAGAAGAAGAAGATTTTTATAAATTATAAATTTCTTAAGAATCTACTAATTTAATTTTTTATTATATATTATATAATTATTTATATTTTTATTATCTATTCTTTTATTAAGAATATAGTCTAGTGGCTTAAGATCTCTACTAATAACTAGAATACTCTAGTAGCTGCTTTCTAGACTACTATAGCTACTACTAATACTATAGTAGTAGCTACTAAGATCTAGACTAATATTATCTACTATCTAATAGCTATTTTTTATACTACTACTAGTCTAGTAGATAAAAAGAAGAAGAAAGAGAAAGAAGAAAAAAATAAGAAGAAGAATAAGAATAAGTTTATAATCTAAGAGCTAGATCTTTAGACTATTATATTTTTAAATAGTAAATAAACTATTAGAGTAATTTCTAGTCTTCTAGTCTAATATATATATAAATAAATAAATTAGTAGACTTTAAGTACTTTAATAGTTAATAATATATTTAATTATAGATTTATTAAAGAATCTTCTTATATATAATATTCTTAATAGTAATTATATTTAACTAATAGAAAATAATTAGTTTAATTATATCTATTATATAAAAAAGTACTATATATAACTATCTATAAGAAAATAGTAGAAGATAAAGATCTATAACTATAATTTATAAAGACTAGTTTTAAGTATAATTAATTATTACTATAAAGTAAAAATAGATTAGAAATTATCTATAAAAAGAGTAAATAGAAGTTTATTCTTATTTAAATATAAAATATTCTATAGAATTAACTATTTTAAGCTAATATAATTATTAGTTAGTATTTTAATCTTAATTAGCTATAGTCTTAATATCTATATTAATAGATATATTATATTATACAGCCTATTTAATATATATATATATTTCTAAAATAGATAATAAATATATTTAGTTTTAGCTATAAAACTAAGAAAGATAAACTACATAAATTAACTATATATAAAAACTTATATATAAACTTCTTAATATTATTATTAATATTATCTATTAAGATTTTATTAATGATATAAATATTAGTTATATAGTCTAATAGTTTATTAAGATAGTAATTATTAAATCTATTTAAGAAAATATTATAGATTATAAGAATTATATACTTAGTAAAGAAGGTAATATCTAGACTCTTTTAAAGATAAACTATAGAAAATATATATTTATAAAGATTCTTAATATTCTTAGTCTAGTATATACTAGAAGATAGACTAATTTAGATATAAAAACTATAATTATATAATATATTATTGATTAGATAGTATATATTTTATTTTCTAGTTTTTTCTATAGATAGTCGTTCTTATAGAACTATAGAATATAGAATAATTATTATAAAAAGAAATATTATAAATAAACTATAATAATATCTAGATAATATTTCTTTTTTACTATAAGTAATAATTACATAAAATTACTACTAAAGAGAACTAAAATACTACTAAATAGTTTATTAGAATAATATCTAGTAAATAGTTTTGAAAATATAATAGTATTATATAGAAATCTTATTCTAGATAATTAGGTCTATATTCTATAGCTTAAATATAAGATTAATCAAATAAAAAGGTATCTCTATTAATTTAAGAGAAATATATAACTTAGAATAAGTTATATAATTATAAGATAAAAGTAGAGCCATTATACTAGATAATATTATATGAAAAATCTTCTTATCTAGTAAATACAGTTTACTATATATAATATAATATAAAAATATTTTTTTAGTACTACTAGTATCTTAAATAAAGTAATAGACTAGTAGATCTTATTCAATAGCTATTATAATAATATTGAAGACTATATATTATAGATTATTTAGCTAATATTCTAATTTCTTAATTAGAGAAATATAGTTAACTAGTTAACTAGTTAGTTTTTAATATTTAGTAATACTCTT